GAGGTCATACTTCTTGCCTCTGAGAGGGATGAAGTCGGTGGTGCCATCAGGGACATTCACAGCCTGAACCTCAGCAGGGATATCCGTGGCCGAAGTCGAGGCCATGGTGTCGATGTTGTTGTTGTTGTCGAGGGATGAAGTCGACGACAAACTGGGTGAGTGAGGTATGGTGTCGAAAAGGTGGACCCGCTCTGTCGTTGCTGGAGCACAACGAGTTGGGAAGAGTCGGGAGGGAGATGATGACCGAGGTCAAGTGGGCTGAAGGAAAGGGAAGGGAAAAAGGTGGGAGTTGGGCAGAGGTCAAGGTATTATTAAGTAGTAGCAAGAGGAGGCAGGCCCAAGGGTTCTCAGCAGATCAAAGCTTTTGCCTGTGAAGTGGGTTCCCGGGTGGGAGGAGAGGGAGATGGAGAGTCTGTTTTGGTAGAGGTACTTGCAGATTGGAGGGAGTCCACCCACACTCCCCGTCACTCACTCGTGCTTGCTTGCTTCAGTGTGCTGCCCTGTAGTGTAGTGTACAAGTGAAAGTACTTCAGGTTTGTAGTGCGTCGCTAACCTGATCTTTGCACCAACAAAGCGGATACACCAGGGCAGTATTAAGGTTTCAAGAGGGAAGGCTCGGCGAGCAGTGCCGACAACTCCCAGAGCCCTTGGTTCCCTTTACACTTTTTTTTGCCTCCCGTTCGTCCTAGGGCAAATTGTCACCAGCATGGCCAGACCCTGGCGAAGGCAATGGAAACTGGTTGGGGTTTTCCGATGGGTGATGAGCCGACAACAGCAGAGGAGTGGATTTCATCAACGACTCGGCTAAGACGTGTGAGTGACTGGAATTGCACCACAGCGGATTGGCCTCGGTATTGTACAAGACATGTGCTTCTCACCAAGTGTTCTTGGTGCTCTCAGGGTGTTGTTTTGGGGCTGTTTTGCGGGCGAGCCATGCGTTGATCGCTCGTCTGTCGTCCTGAATTTGCCGTTGATGAGTTTTGTTGAGCAGAATGTTGGGGACATGTTCCCGTCCGTGCATTCAGGTCCCGTCCATTCAGGGCAGGTGGGCTCCGTATAAGTCGGGATCCGACGGCGATTGGCCGGACATGCTCACTCTGGCCCTTGTACCTTGTACATTGTGGCGGCCTGTCGCTTTGCCCTGGTCTCCGCTGTTTGTCACCCACTGTCCACAGCCCCCACGCTTGGCTGACGGGTACAAGTGACATTGGCAGCGATTTGCTTCATTCACAAACCCTTTCCCTCTTTCGCCCAAAGAGGTGTGGCAAAGCTGAGGTCCCTGAAGTAAGTCTAACTCTCTCCACCTCTTGATGAGCTTTCTCCAGATGCCTCGCTCGGATCATTGACTTCCGCGAAGCTTGGGAATCGAACGACATGGAAATCCGGCATGTCCCGACTTTGCAAAATGGAACATGATGATGATGCTGACGGCTGACGTGCGCCCAACGCACTGCACTTCAACGAACTTGATACGGACCACAAGGAAGTCGCGGACTTCAGGACGGACCAGGGCAGGAATGCGGTCGCCATGATAAGGCAAGATAACAACAACCAAAGCAGGAGCTTCTTTCCATGCAGTGCTATCAAACGGACCACGGCGCCTTCCCCGGATTTGCAACCAATCTTGCCAAGTGGAAGTGCCTATGGAGCCCGCAACGGTCAGCTGTTCCTTCCTTCGTCATCCTGGCTGTCGACGCAGTGAAGCATCAGAATTCGAGATGAACTCCGGTTCGTCCCATCCAGAATTCACGCTTTGACAGTGCCTCCAAAGCAACGGTGATTGGCTGGTTAGTTGCGTAGCTCCAACCAGGGGCAGCTTCAAGGGCAAGGCTCCGATTTCTCAACATTCCTTCCCGCACCTTTGCATTTCGGCAGCCAATCAAGTCGCCTGCTTCTTCGCATTCCGGCTAGCAAAGACTTCAACGCATGCTTATGTAACATTTCAACCCTCTGCGTAAGCCAAGAAGAGAGGAGGTTTCCAGAAAGACTGAGATTGCAATTTCTTCAATCATCATCGTCATGGTCGTTCGCCTTCTTCTGCCTTCAGCCTTCAGCCTACACTACACTATGTATGGTCCCCGTGGGGGGCGACTCACGGTGGGGAATGGGGAGTTGCGTCCAAGATGGAGCCGCGACGGAGCCGGAGGCGGATATGTATAGCCTAGCATCGGGAGCACCATCCAAGTGTCCGTCGGGTCCCTGGTGGGGTTCGGCCGTCAACCCCAGACCCCGATCCGGCCTGCGAGCTTCTCCTCGGCACCTCGTCCACCTTTGTTTCGAGACGATGCTCGAGCTACATCGAGATTGAAAAGTTCAAGAAAAGGAATGAAAACCACCTTGCTCGACCCAACAAGTCGCTCCGACACAAAGGCACCGGCAGCATATTTATGATCCAATCGTACGAGGAGCCGGACTTGAAGGAATAGCTCCATGCAACCAAGACTTTGCTTGGTACCTCGGCTGTGACACCATCAACGTCAACGTCGTCGACCCTACCCGCCATTCCAATGGGCTATTAAAAGCATGCGGGAACGTGTGTGCCAAGAGAGAGCTCAGGCCATGTTTTCCATTTCGTTGGGAACCGTCGCTTAATCGTACGTTGGTCTTTTTTTTTTCTTCTTCAGTCCTTCAGAGGAAGAAAGGCAGAGGAGTGCGCTATCAAGACATGCCTTGTACTCTTTTTTGCCCGTCATGGCACACATTCCCTTACCTCTGCCTACATTCAACACTCGTGGCTCTACACCAGACTTCGATTCGCCAAATGAGGACAGCCTACCCTGGCGGTAAATACATAGGTGACCTGCCAGCTGCCAGATACCCTCCCTCTTCACTCATACGCCAAGTCGAGCATCTGGATATCACCATCATGTCGCCCCTTTGGACCTGACGACTGTGAAACACTGATGATACTTGACTCCCTCCAGATGAGAACACTTGATTTCCATACCACGCAATCCTCAATCTCAGACAGCCGCCCAACACTCGGTCCTATCGCCTCGAGACAGAATGAAGTACGCCGAATGTTGTCACTTCCATGTCATTCCCCAGGTCAACGCTGTTTTTCTCCCTTTCAATAATCTTAGTGCCAGGAAGCAGACGTCACGTTTTCAAACTTACGTCGATATTTTGAAGTTGGGAAGCCTATTCCAAGTGGAAAGAATGAGAGACAACGACGATCCACACATCAAAACAAAGACGATGGGCTTACGTCGATATACCTCAACAAAATAGTCTTCACTCAGAGGATGCTGTGCGAAGAGATTTACAGGAAAGACCATCACTTTACTCTCAGATGGATGTGCCAGAGAGTAAAGTAGGACTGACTGTTCGAGGGCGCATGCAGCAGACCAGTTTGAAGCTCTGCGTCACATGTCAGACTCTATCGGAATAGTCATGACATCGACAGATGAAGGATACACTGAGCTGGGGGTCACCGTCGGGCGACTTTACAACCATTACTCCTGTCTGTCCGTGTCCGTGTCCGTGTCCGTAATAATTTTTTTTCCAATGATAGCAGACGCATGCCTGCCTACTGTATGATTCTCATCTACACAGGCCAAAATCACCTCAAGTTCCCCGATTGTGTTTGCAGAGCCAGGCTAAAAGGTTTAGTGAAAGAGATTGACAGAGGAGGAACTCCATGATCTTTAGCCAAATGACTCAGATTTCAAAGTACGTCAGAGCACTTTGTCGGGACACGCTAGAGGTAGTTCGGGTTGATGTCACTCATCGACCAGTCATATTTTTACCATCCAGCCCTACGGCATACACAGGGAAGGAAAGGGAAGGAATGCCTGGGGTATTTATTAGAGGTAGGTACCTAGCTGTGAGTATGATCTCAAAGAAATCAGCGCACAAAGTGTTGGCCAAGTTGATAGCGTGCCGGCAGGTTTACGCAATGACTACCTAGGTAGGAACTCCATTCAAACCAAGGTTTCCATGCCCCTTCGTTTCTGATGCGCCGTCGCAGTTTTGTTGGTCAATTGATCGATGGATGGTCTATAGACTTGAAGGAGGGCATTCAGCCTCACGTCTCTTCACCGAGGCAAGTCCAATCATCGCCCACTACCTAGAATCTGATAGACTACCTAGTGTAATGAGGACCTGCTGTGCTGCTACAGTATAAAACCATTCCATTTGCCCCGCCGCGCGCGCGCGCGCGCCCACCCCTTCCCAATTGTATAGATAGATATGTGGGAAAAGAGAAAAAACAGCAAAACGATCAATCCGATGTATACACCCCCAAGCAGGTAAAGTGAGTGAGTGTTGGGGGGTTTTATACCAGGAACAACAAACAAAAACAACAAAAACAGAAACAGAAACAGAAACAGATAAAAGGAAGAAAAAAAAGGGAGAATGCCATCCCAGAGATACTGTAGGTGTATAGATACCTTGGATAATCGAACCACGAAGACCAAAGCAAAAACGAAGAAAAAAAGAAAGAAAAAAAAGTCCGTCATGTATAATCCCATCCTATGCTAATGCCCTCTCCTCTTCACGTAAGTCGTCGTGACAACCTGAGTAGCTAGATACCAAGCTCAAGTTGTACTTTAACTATTTGCTTGAAAGCTCAACCCGCCGTGTGGTAAGGTTTGTAGGTAGGTATGAGTTGTGTGAGTTGTGTGAGTTGTATAGGTCGGTTGCATTATTTGCATGCATTGGAGGCCTCCCAACTTTGGTAAAGCTTCACGGTTGACCCCTTCGGGGTCCATAGGTAGCCTCGCTGGATCATAGGGTAGGGCACCTGATTGTATAAAGGGTTTTGGTGCTCTTGTCGGTTCGCTGTTGTGTTATAACTCGTAGGTGTAGCTGCTGGTACGGCTACTTCGTTCCACCGCCTGTTCATTCGTTGTTCGCCCAATGGACTTTCTGGCTTTCATTCTCATTCTCATTCTCATTCTCATTCTCATTCTCATTCTTCTCATACACCCCTCGTGATGTGCGTGTACCGAGTACTTTCGTTCATCCGCTCATTCATTGCTGGCCTTCCCATCACTTTCTTAGGTTCTCGTCGTCTCGTAGTTCGTATGGTGTCGTTGTTGGTGTTGCTGTTGTTCCTGCTGATGCTGCTGCTGATATCCCCCTTCCTTCTGCCCACCAAACAAATCCATATCGATCTCCTCCTCCTCCTCCACCTCCTCCTCATCCCCCTCCTCATCAACAGCCCGCTTCCCCCTCAAAGACAAATCACCATAAGTATAAGCTCCCCCAATCCCCTTCAACACATCCAACTCTCTCCCACCATACCGCTCCAACTCCCGATCCCGATCCCTATCCAATTGCGAATTGCCATGACCATTCCGATCCCCCAGGCCACGGTCTTGATAATGATACCCAGACGACCGTTGTTGTGGTTGTGGTTGGTATTCATCCCGATCCCGGCCATCTTGATGATGCCCATGCCCATGATACCGCCCAGCCATGACCTCCGCTGCCTCCATCCTGAACTGCTGCTCCAGCCTGTCGCGATCTCGCGCCTCGGTGATGGCTGCGTAGGCTAGATCGGGCCCGGGCTTGGTGGGCTCGGTGAAGTACTTGCCTGAGTCGGCGCGGGAGAGGGGTTTGTCTCGTCTGTCGCCGTCTGCTTCTTCGCCTTCTTCTGTGTCAGAGGAGGAGCGGTAGTGGGTACGGCTGAAGCGGGATTGGTGGTGGGATTGGGTGGTGTTGTACTGCGGTTCTACTGTTCGGCTGTGATCGTTGCTACTACTGCTGGGTTCGCCGTATTGGTCGCGGAGGGTGAGTTCGTGTGACATGTTGTTGTTGGCTGTGGGGCCATTGGAAGATGTGGTCTCGGGCCGCCATTTGAGGGCTTCCCGGGTGAGAGAGTCTTTGAGCGGTAGCGAGGCGGCGTCGGTGTTGCCGGAGGGGGCGGTGGAGATGAAGGAAGTGAAAGAAATTCTTGGGTCGTGTTGTTGCCTCAATGATTCTGCTTCGTTTTGTTTCCCAAATTCGTCCACGTCGCCTTTCAGATTGCCGTACGAAGACGGAACAGTCAAGCTACTCGGCTCCTGGTAAGTACTGCTATTCCCCCAAGGACGCGCATGATGTCGGAATCTCGCCGGGTCATCGTACCCGCCATCGCTGGGAAGGGGAGAAGGTGGTGATCGACCTCGTGGCGGATACCAGTGTTGGTCTTCGGATGGTGCAGGAGATATCGTCGACGGACGACCCCTCCCCACACCGCTTGCTCCAGCAGCAGCATTACTGCTGAAATAATCCCATCCCTGATCTGACGGCGACTCAAAAGTCTTGATAATCTTGGGTACCCCATTCGTCGGCTCCGTGCCAACCAGATACTCCTGGCGCGAGTACCCATCGTCGACCGAGACCGATTCCGGGTTATGATAGCTATACTGATTTGGCTCCACCGGCTCCGGCTCCGGAAACAGATCCAGCAAGTCCAGCGCCTGTCTCCTCTTGCGCGGGTTGGGATCCAGACAGATATTCACAATTTCGACGTACCAATCCGGGACATCCGTAACCTCGGGCCCAATCCTCAACGGACGTCCATGAGCCTCAGGCTCGTCCTCTTGCGTCGCTAGAGCCCAAAGCACCATGCCCAGCTGGTAGAGATCGGACTTGACGCCAATGTACATGGATATCCGCTGGCTGTTCTCAATCAACGGCGTCGCCTCGGGCGGCTCCCATCCCACCGGACAGCCGCGTCGGTTGATGTCGATGATCTTGGCGTTCCACTCGTTGTTGATGACGATGTTGGACAGGGTGAAGTCTCCCTGAACGAACCCCGCCTCGTGTATGTCCGCCAGACCACCCACAATCTGGCGCGCCCAGCGCTCGCGCGTAGACCAGGGAAGGCCGCCTTGGAGCTGGTAGTCGTAGATGATGTCGATCAGGGCACCGTGCTCGGCGAAGCTGATCAGCAGGCCCTTGACGAGCTCGCCCGAGTCGTCAACGATGATGCCGTAAAACTCAATGACGTTCTCGGCGGCGCGAAGGCGGTTGAGCGCGTTGATCTCGTAGAGGAACTCGTCGACGGTGTCGGGGCCGGGTATCTCTTTCTTGATCAAGGTCTCGCCGTTGACGCGGACTTTGTAGACGAAGCCGGAAATGTGGGAGTCAAATTCGACTTCGGATTCTCTGATGCGGCGGCAGCGCATGTGCTGGATCATGCGCACGGTTGGATAATTGATGATTTCCTGAGTAGTGGTGGTGTTAGTATGGCCATGAGTTGGTGCGTACCGAGGGTAGCAGAACAACTCACATTGACGTCTTCCACCACGTGGACATGTAACCTCTTGTCCGTGGTTTGAAGCTTCAGATTCGTGACGGTAGGATAGAACTGGATGTCCCCCAAACTGTCTCGAATTGCCTCGTAGATCCTCGAACTCTTATCGCGCTGGAACTTGATGTCGACTAGCTCCTCCTCCAATGAACCCTCCTGAGCATCACGGTAATCGAGGGATATTGTCACTCTGCGCCATAGCGACTCGTTCTGTCTGTACGTGACAAAAAACTTCTCCCTCTTGGACTTGTCGCGAAAGTGCATTGACAGATTCAGGATCCAGATCTTCTCCAACTCGTCGTGTATCATGTTGTGGTACTGAGAAGATGTTATCGAGTGCGCATCACAATCCGAGATGGCGGCATCCGACCCATGGAGACGAGCGAGAGCAGGAGCTCGCAGCAGATGGTTACTATTGTCGTGGTAGTTCTTGTCGAGTTCTTGCTCTAGCTCATGTCCGGTTAGGCCTCGGAAACTGCTGTTTACCGGCGTATATTCTTGAGGAATCGTAGGTAACGAAGGAACAGGAGAGTCGACCTGAGAGATATGAGAAGAACGGCCAAAGTGATGATGGAAGTTTGGCGCGCTACTCCTGGGAAGTGAGGCGGCGGCGGTTCCTACACCCAATCCGACCAGCGATGTCGATGCACTGTTGATGGCATGCATGCGTCTATCGACTGAAGCAGCTCTGCGCTCGGCAGGGGTAGGTTGTACAGGTTGAAGATGGTCGCGCTGCTCGGATTGCTGTCTCTTGAATGTCTGAGTTCGAGGCAGGCCGGGAATCACCTTTCGAAAGTTTCGACGAATGGTGCCTTGTTTGTTGGAGCCTCCGTCATCGTGCTGCTGCTGTGTTTGTGAACCCGGACTCGTGGTACTGTTTCCCTCCCCTCCATGTCCTCCTCCGCCTGTTCCCGATCCCGGTTCCGTTGCGGTTCCTGCTGATCCCAATCCTAATCCCGGCCCGGCGTCATGGGCACCTTGACCTTGACCACCACCGCCGTCCTTTTGATCCCGCCAAAGATGCATTTTTTGCCACCAGTTGTTTTGCTGTGGGGGCCAATCGCCATCTGCAGGTGGTAAAATTGATGCTGGGTTCCGTAAAGCCAAGGGAAGCTGCGGTTGCACTTGGGCCATACAGACCTTTGGGGGTACTAAATAGGTTTGTAAGTTTACCCAAGGGGCTGTAAGACATGGTCAGCACTGTGAGTGAAGAGAGAGTGAAGAGGCTTCAAAGCGCGCCAGGCATCTTGTGCGACCTCAAGATTACTTGGTGGCGAGAAGACAGCTTCTGGACTGACGCATCACCAGCCTCAATCACCTAACGGCCTATCGGCTAGGCCTTCTCAGGCAAAAACCCAAAGACTATTGTGTTTCACCACTTGGCTCAGGGGTCCTGACTTGGAAGATGCAAGCAAGCAAGCAAGATGGCGCAACCTTACATTAAAGACAAGCAATCATGCAGACTGCCGGCGCGAAGACCCTTAGGCGCCGTATATCCCAAGGCAATGACGGCGCTTGGTGAAGTGGTCGATGTTCAAAGACGCCATACACCTGTCGAGGGGAAAAGTCTTGTGGTTGATGATGATGATTTCCCGCCTCTCCTCCTCGGTGAAATTGATTAGACCAGGGTTGTGTCGAAGGTGTTGCGGGTCGGATAGCTACTTTTGCTGTTTGGCGTTGTGAATCGGGACACGAAGATAACGTGAGCTTGTGAGTTGTGTGATGAATGTTGATAGACGCCGTCTTGAAGTGCCTCTTTCACGTTCACACGGCAACATTGGGAGTATAAAAGGTTGGTGGAATATACGATTTTGTGGTCTGGGAAAGCATGGAAAGTTCCAAGGGTGTGTTCTGCGGGGGTGTTGGGCGATGTGGAGGATGAGATGGAGTCATGATAGCTTTTGAAGCTCCGTCTACGCTTTCAGCTTAGGTTCATCATGAGACCCTCCTTCAGAGATCGTCCCAGCCGCCGTGACTTGGTTTTAGTTGCAACCCTCAACGTGCCTGCGTAGGGCCTATCCCTCTGTCATTGGCCATAGGATGGGGGTCTCTGAACAGCGATCGTGATGTGTACACAGCAAATAGACGCCAGTAAACATGGAACCTACAGCCACCTGAGATGGATCCCTCCCTTGTAGGGTAGGTAGGCTTCTTTTACCCCTGGCCGGCGGCGGGCTGTCTTGGCCCTGCCCCGGAATGCCTGAGTGCCTGGTCCGGGGGGGGGGGGCCGTTTTTGAGGCCAACTTCAGGTCCCACGTTCCATCTCTATTTCTACCGTCCGTCTCCAGGAACGTCAACTGCCCGCTCTGTTATGTGACACACACGTTATGCACAGTCGAAGGCGTACATGGCATCGTTTGGTTCTCGTGTGCCTTGTCTGGGTCTCGTGTCGTGAGGCCCTTCCTTTCGGGCTTCCTGCAGACACCTGAAGGTCTGGAAAAAGGAAGGGTGGCAGTAGTGGGATGACAGGCCGAGTTCGACTTGCAGGAGGCTGTGTGTGTCTCGAAAAGGTGTGAGCAACACACGGAGGGGGGCTGGGTGGGTGCATTTTTCCCAGTGGAGTTTGAGGCCGTGACGTGTAACCATGGGTGAGAGCATGGAACACTCTCCCAATTAACACATGCATGCCATGCCATGCGTGGGGTCTTTTTTGGGTTACAACCTTTTTCTTTTTCCTTGATTCCAGGGCCATGTTCGGCGGGTAGCGTTGCCAGACAGTGGTTGTTGTTGTCGTCGTCCTCAGTGCCTGACATGTATACTGGCCGATCTTTGTATATCATACACTGAAATAAGGGCCATAACGGATGACATATCAATTTGAGGAGGAGAGAACTGACTGACTGACCTCATTTTTGAACAGTTCATGATGTTGGATTAGTACAGCGCTTGATCAGACTCTCGAATAAACAAAAAAAAGAAAAAAAAAGAAAAAAAAAAAAAACACAGGACCCCGTGCCATGACCCGTGATCATCATCAATCATCTGAGGGGTAGTGTACAGTTCAACCGCTAAACGCGCGAGAGAGAGAGAAAAAAGAGAAAAGAGAAAATGAGGGGTTCATGGCTGACATGTCCTCCATCAGTTCTCCACAATTCAGCTCCAGCTTCAGGGAAATAAAATGGGGAACACGCAAGGGAAGCTGTTAGTGTGTGTGTGGTGGGTGGAGACAGTTGCCAGCCCTATCAAGGCACTGTTTCCCTTCTGGGTAACGGGTCGACAGGGGCTCTGGCGATCCGCTTCAGACGCTTTTTACACTTCACCAACTCCCCTAGGTTATTCCTCCACTCGAATCCATCCTGTGGCCATCGATATTCTGATGCCGAGACTTGGGTTGGCAACATGAACTGAGACCTGGGAATAGTATCATGATGATGGAGAAACTAGGGTAGAGTCCGACCCACCCGAACGCCAGCTAGCTTACCTTGCCGTGCAAGAGAAGAGTTGCCATGAATCAGACCGACACTCCTTCCTCCTGGATCATGTTGACTTACCCATGTTACGCCCCCCCAAAAACAAGGACCTCGGTGGCCATAAACAATGACCGCTGCATGAGTTTGGTGCATATAGGCGGTCAAAGTTTCAGTCAGTCAGTCAGACCGACACATTACACTACTCAGACGGCCATACCCGCTCATCACCATCATCATTCTCAACAACCGGGTTTGTATCCGAACCATGCACCTTCAAGATCAGCTTTGTTTCCGTCTATGCCTGTGGGCCTCAAGGCGGGAGCAGGGCAAGGACAGGGCAGGCTGCGGAGCCGCAACAACCTGGCTACCCCGAGGGTAGTGGATATGGACGAGGCTGGCTGACTACACCAAGGGTATTCCCCATTCCCCCCACACTCCATGTTCTTGATTTCTTGTGTCATAAGGGCTCTTCAGAAGTGGTAAAGAGTGAAATTGCAATTGTCAGTAAACGGTAACGAACAAATTGACCCCATCTCCTGGAAATCCCAAGGACATCCCGATCCAGGCTACGACTTTGTCCCGGCAGTTTTCAGACTATACTCGCTCACTCACTCACTCACTCCCAGCCCAGAGCCGCCTCATATCTTTTCGCGTGGAACATGACAGGTCACATCTGGAGGCAGTTAGTTGAGGATTACTACCCGAACGGCAAAGATACCGAGCTTGGGTTTGGGTTCTTGATATCAGTACCTACTAGAGTTGAACTGACTGTCACTTTCGTACTTGTACTCTGAAATTGAGTAGAGGGGTTAGCTGGAAATGCCGCCTTTGAACTTTCATTCCTGCAAAATCAAGGTATAACTACCTCTATCGACATCAGATCTCAGCCCTTTCATTCTACAGTTTCTAGATCCCATCATTTCCACAAACCTAAAACCGCCTCCCTCCTCCCCCCTCCCGTCGCGGCCTGGCACGTTCTATCTGTCTGTCCATCTGTCTGTCTGTCTGTCTGTCGCGGCAAGCCCAGTCCAGCCCTGGGTGCTCATCAACGGGAGTCGAGGACAGGACTAGACTCTCCCACCGGGCACCATCGGATAGAGCCCACATTGGCTACTTTCTTTTTTTCCGTAAGGGCAAGCACACCACACATTTACATTTACATGGCTGGAAGCGGGCGACAACAAAAGACAACCTCAAGACACCAAATCACAGAACTGCATCAACTGCCGGTACCGCTCAGCGATTCAGCCATTCAGTGGCAATGGAAATGCTCTTTCGGGTGCAGCCCCGTTTCTTCCCTCTCCTTTTATCTTTAAATGTGCATGGATGGGTAGCGGTCCCGGTGCATCTACTTTTGCTTACATGTCTGGGACGGGAAGCGCCTAGCTGTTTGTGAATGAAGAGATAAATAGATGGTAACCTGTGTTGCGATACCGACGACCAACAACCACCAGCGAGACCAACAGGAACTTGTCTGGTTCGTGAATTATTGGTAGGTTTTAGCGGCAGGGTTTCGGGCATCAACAAACAGACAAACATCCATTCGACCAATAGGTACAGTTGCTGAGAGGAGAGGTAGGATATCATCGATGTCTGTTTAACCACGTACTTTCCTGATCTTGATGAAATGTGTGATTACCTCTATCGATCTCGAGAGGAAACGTTCGATGGTGCTGATTGTCGAGGAGAGCTGGTAGTAGCTTTGGAACGTCGGAATCAATGGAAGTAATCGGACTTGCCGGCATGTAATCATCACCACCATCATCGTCAGCAGCAGCAGCGGCATCGTCAGCATCATTATCATTATCAACAAATGTACTGTCGGCGTCACCACCCTTTACCTACCACTGCGTCAAGTCCATCATCATCATCATCATCACTGTACTGTCAGCGTCACCACCCTTTACCTACCACTGCATCAAGTCAAGTCCATCAAATCTATCACTTTTCTAACCCGCACCCAGTATCAGCAGCAGCAGCAGCAGCAACAACAACAACAAGCAGCACCACCTACCTCACACCAGGATCCCCTACGTACATACATATAGATACAGTTCGCTCAACCCATGTAAGATGTCTTTCGTACCTACCTACCTACTATTAAAGGTATACCTCTCCCTCGTTCGGTCCCGAGAATGGATGGATGGATGGATGGATGGGTGCAAAGTATGCAATGCTAAACGGGTCGGCACATGTATCTGTCTGGCTCGCATCGGCGGCCTCGGCACTCTAGTCTACTAGGTTGCTTTGCGCTTTTAGACGATTTCCACGGGCACCAATACTACGATTTCGATATGTATAGGTATGCATGTACGTGAGATAATTGAACGGCATATAATGTTTGAGAGGGTAGCAACAAGCGGTAGCAGAGGGTAGCAGTAGTGTCGCAAGTGGATTGGGACGATCCCATGCATCATCATCAATCATCATCATCTGCTGCTCTTGCTTCTTCCAGACCGGTTGGTTGTTGCTACTTGTGTGCCTATTTTGATCTCTTGATTTCTTGAGCAACGTCGTGTCGTGCCGTCGTGCTCGTGGTAGGTATGGTGAAGGGGGTGACGGAGACTGTAAGTAGGTAAGTAGCATTAGGCATCCTGGGCTGGGTACCTATTGTTCAGGTTAAAATCGGTTCAATTGTAGTTGCCTGCCTGAAGTAATAATTCTTTTTTTTTTTTTTTTTTTTTCGCAATCTCGAGCTTCGAACCAAGGTCATGTGAAAGTTCAGTTAGCTACCTAGGTATGCAATAGATGGGATTGGTAGGAGCAAGTACTACCTAACCAGCACCGGACATCAAGCTTTTCCTTACCTACCTACCTACACTAGTCGGTAATATTGTACAAGCAAAAAAAGGTGAGACACACCCAAACAAAAGAAAAAAAGAAAAAGAAAAAAAAATAATTAAAAACAATTAACAATGCCACCGATGATATTTGAAATAAGTCATGATAGAGTGAAGATGTTCTATGTAGAAAAGAACCCCCTTGATAGGTGTGTGTGTGTGTGCAAAATGTATATGTTCCCAAGACCAAAAGAAAAAGACGCTCTGCGTTTCCGATCAACACATGGTTATTAGTTTCTCTATTAACCGCCGCCCGCACTCCATTCCTTTCCTTTGAACGCCAATGATGATGATGATGATAATGCCATTCTCCAACTATCTTTCGCTTTGATATCCTCGGCTTCCTATGCCAGCCGATTCCCATTCTCTTACATGCCATGCCGTACAGCTTTGTTTACTCGTCGTCATCGTTCTTCTTCTTGGACTCCTCCTTCTCGGACTTGTCGTCCTCGATGATCCGGCTCTTGTTGGCCTTCTCCCGGTCGAGCTTGGGGAAGATCAGGTCAAAGACCTCAGAGTACCAACGCACGGGCCGGCCCTCGATACCTTCCTTGACGTTCTGGTGAAAGAAAAAGCGTTAGTAACTTGTTTGGATGAGTGTTATGTTGATGGGCTAGGATGTATAGTCTTACCTCAGGAAGCTCAAGCCAGTCAGACATGTTGTCCTCAGGGAACACAACCATCTTGCAGCCAGCTCGCCTAGCCGCCACAGTCTTCTCCCTCAATCCACCGATGCGGAGCACCTTGCCAGTGAGGGTAAGCTCACCAGTCATGGCGATCTGGGGGTCAATAGGAGTGTCGAGCGCGAGCGACAGCAGAGAGGTGGTCATGGTGATACCGGCCGAAGGACCATCCTTTTGCACAGCGCCCTCGGGAACGTGCACGTGAATCTTGGCCTTGTCGAAGAAGCGGTTCTTGGGGAAGTCCTTGGCCATGACCGCCTTGGCATACGAGTAGGCGATAGCGGAGGACTCCTTCATGACGGTCTTGAGATTGCCGGTAATCTCGAGCGATGGCGCGCTCTTGGAGGTCAGCGCGCTCTGGAAAATAGACTCGACATACATGGCAGCGCCACCCATGGAGGTCCAGGCCAGACCCATGGTAACACCAGGGGGTGTCACATCATAGAGCCTGTCAGAAGTGAAGATCGGGGGTCCCACGTAGTCCTTGAGGTTGTCCTTGTTGATAACGACATGGACGCCTTCAGGAATCTTCATGGCAACCCGAGGCTTCTCCGTGGTCTCCTTCTCAGAAGCTTCGGTGGCGGCCTTCGGGCTGCTGGTCTCACTGGACGCGGCCTCCTCGCTCTTCTTCTTTTCCGTCTCCTCCTGGGCAGCCTTACCCTCCTCGGTAAGAGCTTCAGACTCGGGAAGGGCCTGCTCGCCGAGGTCCTGAACGATCTTCAGGGCAGACTTGCGGTATACCTGCTCAATCTTCTTCTTGAGGTTACGGACACCCGACTCGCGGCAGTAGGACTTGTTGAGCTCCTCAATCGCGTCCTTTGTTAGTTGCACGTCAACGCCCTTGAGACCAGCCATCTCCTGAGCCTGAGGAGCAAGGTACTTTTCGGCAATGGCCATCTTCTCATCTGCGACGTATCCGGAAAGTCGGATGACCTCCATACGGTCGAGAAGGGGCCGTGGGATGGTGTCAGTCAGGTTGGCAGTGCAGACGAAAAGCACCTTGGACAGATCTACAGGGACATCCAGATAGTGGTCCAGGAAAGAGCCGTTCTGCTCAGGGTCCAAGAGCTCGAGAAGTGCAGACGAGGGATCTCCCTGGTAGCCGCGGCCAATCTTGTCGATTTCGTCAATCAAGATCAAGGGGTTCTCGGTCTTGCACTTCTTGAGGGCCTGGATGACACGACCGGGAAGGGCACCCACGTATGTCCGGCGGTGACCCTTGATTTCGGCAACGTCGGTAAGACCTCCCACACTGAAGCGGTAGTACTGGCGACCAAGTGCGCGAGCAATGGACTTGCCAATCGAAGTCTTGCCGACACCCGGAGGACCGACGAAGCAGAGAATCTTGCCCTCGACGGTGCCGCGTAGCTTTCCAACGGCAATGAACTCCAAAATACGATCCTTGACGTCCTTGAGACCATAGTGATCCTCATCCAGAACCTTGACAGCATTCAGAATGTCAAAGTTCTCGGCACTGCTCTGGCCCCAAGGAATGTTGGTGAGCCAGTCCAAGTAGTTGCGCGTGACATTGAACTCGGAAGCGGCAGGCTCCAGGTGGGCGAGCTTGTTCAGCTCGTCATCAAACACCTTGCGCACGGCCTCAGGCATGGCCAGCTTGTCGGCGAGCTCTTTGAACTTTTCGACGAGCTTGTCCTTGCCGTCAGACTCGATACCAAGCTCGCGCCTGATACCCTTCATCTGCTCCATGAGCCAGTATTCACGCTGGCGTTTGGTGATCTTCTGCTCTACGTCCTTGGTAATCTTGGACTGAAGCTGGGCGTTGACGTGCTCCTTCTTGAGGACGAGAAGAGCCTTGTGCATTCTTTCTTCCACGTTCAGGCTCGAAAGAACCTCCTGAAGCTCAGCAGGCTCACCGGCGCTGACAGCAGCGGCAAAATCCGCAAGCTTGGCTGGCTCAGCCATGACATTACCGGTCGATTGGCTCATGCTAAAGGTGGAAATCTGATCCCGGAAGAGACTGTTCATGCTAGCGACCTCCTTGAAGACGTTTACGATCTCGTTCGTAACGGCGCGTATAACCTGGCTCTTGGGGTCGTAGGGTTCTTCCGTCAAGTTCTCTACATTAACAAGACTGACAGGATACTTCTTGAGGAACGACGTCGGCTCGTAGGGCTTCTGGCTTGCTTCGGGCCTGGGTGTCACAGCGCTTTCCTCAAAGCTCGCCACCACGTCACCCTTTTGCTCGGACTCGTCGGTCACCTTGGGGATCGGTTCAGGCACCGGCTCAGGAGCAGCACCCTCCTTCGCACCATCGATCGAGGCAGCCTCAGGCGAGCCAGGAGGAATAAGCTCCGACAGTTTGATTCTCCGGTGGGGGTAAAGGATCGCGGTGAGACTAGCACCCTCGCCGTTCTGATTGTTCATGGGGAAAGCGCTGGTGATCTGCGCAAAAACACCGACGTCATAGACATCGTCGCGGTTCCGGATCACATCGTCGTCGGCGTTCTCGTCCTTGAACAAGAACGCTCCCACGTATGGCTGGCCGCGCTTGATCATTTCTGTAATAGCCGCAGCGACATTGGGGTCCTTGATGGTAATGGCCTTGTAGAAACCGGGGAAGAGCGGTCGCTTCGCTATAGGAATCGCCATGACCTGGGGGTAGATTTCTGGTACGACGGGCTTCGCCAATGCCTTATCACCGGGCTTGCGGCCGCGCTTGCCACCGTCTCCGGAACCACCGTCTGCGCCTGAGCCTGAGCCGGCAGATGAACCGCCAGCAGCGCCAGCCTTTCCATCTTCTGGCGCCGGCGCCGGGGCATCCGAGGCCGAAGACTTGGACTTGGTCTGTTTCGACTCGGCCTCCTTTGCCTCGGCCTCGGCGTGCTCAACGTTTGCTTTGCGCTCCTCCTCTGATAGTGGCTCGATCGAGTTGTCGAAAAAGCCCTTGTCGTTCTTCTTCCCCAGAGCAGTGTACGTTGAGAAACTCGAGAGGTTCGTCGGTCTTTCGTGTCGGGGCCGGGTCACGGCATGTTGCCCAGCCGCGGCGACCGGGCGTATCGAAGAAGTGGTCAAGCTGAAAGACCTAACCGAATGCGCAAGCGATGTCCTCGACGCGAGGATGCGCGGGATGCGCTGTCGGGACAGCATCGTGAATACAGGCAGTGTCGAGCGGACCTGGGTAAGAAGGATATCGTAGAGAGGTCGAGCTTCGTGAGGAGGATTGTCGTCTTTTCTTAGAAGAGAGCGGACCCGAAATCGGACCAAAGGCGACAGTGGACGGGAGTTGCAGTCGTAGGGGAGGGGAGGGGAGGGGAGGGGAGGATGGATGTGGTCGGCTGTGTTGAGAGTGGGACGGCGGGAGAGGTCGCGGCGGGGGAGACGGAGATGCGGCGAAGCGGCGGGAAAAAAAAAAGTTTACAGTTGTTAAAATAGTATACAGTCAAAAGATAAGAAGATGGGTTCTATTCAGGGTGTGACGACGACGACGACGACGACGACTCCAAGGAACCCAAGGCCCATGACTCTCGCGCTCTCTACTGCTTGCCAAATGAGGTGTATGAATAATCAACTTAGGTTGACGGGGCGGAAGGCGAACAGCGACCGACTCGAGCTCCCTCGGTCTTCGGCCGGCGGTAGAAGATGGAGGAATTACTGTCTTTTACCAACTAAGTCTAGGTACCGTCCCGGTTGCGTCACGGTACAAAAGGTACGTACCTCCAGCCCACTAACAGCTCATCCGCCGCTCTCCAGCTCAGACGGCGGGACAGGACTGGAGCTGAGGTCAATTCCATCATCGCCGTTGTGAAGTTTAGCGTCTGGTCGCCAAGCCGCTTTGATCCATTGCGGTATAGTGTAGATCGTTAACTCATAGCACCACTCCGCCGCCTGGAACTGAGGTGCTGCCGGACGGGAGAGCTTACGATGGCGAGCATAGCATAGCAGCACCGAGCCGGAGCGGGGCATCGGCAGGCACGTTCGCTAGTATCAGACAGGGCAGCTCTCCGCAGGGGCAGCAACCCGCATATCAGAAGCGCCCAAGTCCAAGGTCATGACTGCGGGCTCTTTCAACTTACATTAATGACACTTCACTTGTACCACAGTCTTCGTCCATCAGCCATACAAGTATAACATCAACCCATCAGACAACATCCTTTCACATACATCTTGACACCACTTCAGTACGCTAGTCATACATCACCCAACATGGCACCACCTTCATCAGACGACATCACCTCTGGAGTCTCCAAAATGTCACTCAAAAACGCCAAGGCCAAGAAGCCAGAGCCTGTTGCCGACAGCTGGGAAGACGAAGATGTCAGTTCCGAGTCCGAGCCCGAGGCCAAGACCGAGCCCAAGTCTGAGCGTGAGCGTAGCTTTGGTGCGGAGCCGGAATCATGGGAAGACGACAACAACAGTGATGATGAGGAGGGAGCGCCCTCTCCTCCGCCTTCACGCAACAACAGAAAGCCGGAGCCATCAATGACTACCTCTACTTCCATCCCACCATTTCTCGACTACACTGGGCCAGGCGGCAGCGCCAGCAACACTTCCTCCTCCTCAGAGTACAAGAGACCCGAAAAGACGGACGCCGTAGCCCGCCGGATGATTGCCGGTGCTCTGGGGCTGAAGGCACCCAAGCTGACCGAGGAGCAAAAGGCTTACGACCGGGCTTTGCGCGAGAAGGAGCGCAAGAGGAAGGAGGAGGAGAGAGAGCGGAAGAAGAAGGCAGAGGAGGAGGCCTTGAGAGCCAAGCAGGCGATTTGGGAAGACTAGGAGCTTTTCCAGCGTATCTCTCACAGTCTCAATGTGTGTCATCAACATCAGGCGGAATCATCTTTGTTATCTGTACTTTGCGCGGCTTCCACTTGCTCAACATCGCTCGCCGCCGGCGGCGGCAACCCTTCCCTCCTGATCAACGGAAGGTGTTTCCCCTTGTGCATCAACACCAACTGCTCCCCACCCTCGGGCGAATGACGCTTTGCGACCCCCAACCCCTGCAGCCCCTCCTGCTCGGCGCGGTGATTCCACAAGAGCTGTTCGACTTTTCCCTCCCTAGAGCATCCGATAAACACCAACGGCCACCGGCTCCTCGCCAGCGCGTCTCGGGTTCCCTTTGTGGCGGTCTTGGAGGCCACCAAGACGCCAAACACTTCGGACCCTCTCCATCCCACTGGCGCTCCCACAAATGCGCCCTCCAGCTCCCGGATCAGATGAGGACGAGTGCTTTGGATGGCCTTGCACTGCACAATGACTCGCAAGGGTCGTTCGGCCGTCGGTACGGACCATGTGCCTAGAAGATCGATCCCGAAGTCATGTTGCCCGCCCACTCGGTTGAGAGAGAAGCCGTACGCGGACAAGAGGGAAGCTATCGTGTATTCGTAGTGTGTTCCGACAAAGACGGTGGTTTCTTGACCAAGACCGGTGCGCTTGGCATACTGGAGGAATGAAGGGAGGTCATGGTGGTTGGAGGACTTGGAGAGTGGGCTGTTGGCATCAGTACGTCCTCCATCATCTGAGGCGTTGGTGATGCTGCTGCTGCTGCTGGTGGTGGTGACCGGCGAAGGGACTGCGGAGGACTCGGTGGTAGTATCTTTTTGACTCGGCACATGGTCGGAAGAGAAGCACCGCAGCGGGTGAGGGCCTGGACTGCAGTATAATCGGCGCGTTCCGAGTCCGAGCCGGGAGAGTCGTGCAGCCATGGGCCTCATGGTGATGTTGAGCCTGTGCCCTTTGCTATTCGATATATGTGCTGTTTTTTTCCCCTCTTGTAAAGCTTTTGTCCAGCCAATTGACTAAATATTTGATGCTTCAACTCGATGGAAATATTTTCATGCAAATTCGACATAGAGTCATCACAGTTTTCGTGTTATCTGAACATGTATAAAATGCCATATGAAATACCATGTTAAACTAGAAATTCAATGTGGTTAAGTCGATGATCCGCCAAAATCTTTCTCCCATTGGATAAAGCTTTCATCTCTTAGTGGGTCGCACTGTATCAATAGTGGATCCATCCCGTCTGGCACCTGCATGCACTATGATGCACATCCGCTGTCGTCGCGGTCGTCGCGGTTCAGACATTTAGTGTTCCTGAGTGACAGTGACAGTGACAACTCCCTTCTTACTGTCTTTTTGACGGGCGACCACGATCGCGCTACGACACCAAACGCTACCTAGCCTACCATTGCGATACTCTTCTACCAATTGCGCAGCATCGAATCTACTGACCAACACTACCCAAAATGAGCGACCGTCTCTCGCAACTCCAAGAGGCTGTTGACCAGGTCAGTCTTCTTTTTCTATTTCTTCTTCCTCCCTCTACGCCCCCATTAGCCAAATCACCCACTAACCAAACCACCCCTCCAGCTCATGGAGCAATTCATAGCCACCTACTTCTACATCGACCGACACCACGACCTCAAGACCTTCAGCCCCAAAGACACCATCGCGCCCTCCAAAGCCGACCAACCGCCCGAAGTCGACACCCTCCCCCCGGACGTGTTCCAAGCAGGGCAACTTGAACTTGCGCGCGACTTGATTACGCGAGAGCAGCAGATCGAGTACCTGATTTCGAGCTTACCGGGCCTCGATAATAGCGAGCAGGACCAGTTGCAGAGCATCAAGGAGCTCGAGGAGGAGCTGAATGTGGCGGAGAAACAGAGGCAGGAGGCGGTCAAGGAGAAGGATGAGGTGTTGGTTAAGTTGGATCAGACGTTGAGGAGTATTAGGAGGTATTGATCAGTTGGGAAGGAAGACTACTCAGGGAACAAATGGTTAAGACTAGGGGGAATGGCTTGAGAGCATGCATAAAAGGTATGGTGCTGGTAATGAGGTTTTGACATTTGGGAGTTAAGCGACTACGGGTATGCTCTCTTCACACATGACGACACGAGGGCATCGGGATTACGGCGTTTTAGGAGAACTACAATGAGAAGGAAAGGAGGTTCTTGGCTTCGCGTTACATTACAAAAATCATTTTTGGGTCAAACGAAGGGAACAACAGAAAGAATCTGTGGAGGGAAAACAAAAATGAAATTTCTCAGCCATCTATATGCAAAGTTGAACTCCATGCTCTACCTATATGATCTATTAGTGTCAAGCCGTACACCACTGCCCTATCTAACCTCATTCCTCATCCTTCTTGAAGAGCTCGGGGAATACCGTCCGCAACTCCTGCAGAGTGCTTATTTGGTACTTGGACGCCGGCGTCTTGGGTGGCGTCACGCCCTCTTCTACCAAATGCGCCGTCGTCCACCCCAGCTCTTGCGCCTTTTTGCAATTCAAGTAGGAGTCATCTAATAACCATGTTAGTTCGCCACTTTCTATCACCACCAGCACTTCAAAAAAACAAGGTAGGCAGGCAAGGTACTCACCAACAAAGTAACAATCCCCCCACCTGTCGACGACGTCCGCCTCCCGCATCGCCTTTCTAAACATATCCTCATGCGGCTTGCAGATAAGCGGCGTCTGGCTATAATCGCAATACGTGATCCCCTCAAAGAACTCTTCAATCTCCAACAACTTGACCACCCGTTTCGCGTGGTTGATGTACGCATTGGTAAACAGCCACAGCTTGACCTTGCTCTTGTCAATGTCCGCCAACAGCTGCTTGAGCGCGTCGCTCGGCTTGATGATGTTGTCCAAGGGTAACGCGTCGTCTACCTTGGCGTTGTACTCGAGCGGGTCGATCTGGTGGTGCCGCACCAGTCCCTCGATGGCCAGCCCGTAGTTCTGGTAGTACTCCTTGTGCAGCCGGACGGCGTCTTCCCAGGGTAGGTTGAGGTGGCGGGCAAAGTACTGGTCGATGAGGTCGGCCATTAGGTCGTGGACTTTGGCGCCTGTTGTGTCGGGAAGTGTGAGTTTTAAATCAGGATATGGGTTGATATGTGGGTGGTTCCTTCAGTTCACTCACTCTTGGGATAGAGACAGTTGTCAATGTCACTGTAAAAGGACTCTGGTTAGTCAACGATTTTCACAGGTTAGTTCAGATTGCTGCTTATAAACTTACAAGAAAAAGACAACGCGGTTGTCCGCCGGTTGGCTAGTGCCGTTCGTGGTGTTTGTTTCTTGGGCCGCCATCGTCTCTGTTGTTCCTAGGCTCCAGTCTAGTCTTTTGCGTTGTTCAAGATTCACTGCGGATTTGCTGGCGATGAGGAACTGATTGTCCTTTTCTGTTTTTGTGATTGTTGGACAGTTCAAATGTGGTATTGCAATGTTGGTTCCCGTCTGGTTTATATTGCGGTGATGGATGTGTTGGTGAAGTGAAGTGAAAGTGCCAACTCAAACTGTTAGTTCGCTGTGATTTGTGTAAGTCGGTGCGTGGCTGTCAAAAGGATGCCGTGTGTTTGTGTCCTTGAATCCCCAAAAAGATGATTGTTTTCTTGAATACAGATGATTGTTTAGAATACTTCTTTCCCATGAATCAATTCAGCCAGTTTTCTTCCTCTTTATATACTTGATCGTGTGACATCAAGCATGACTGACTTTCCATGCGGTTCCTCCGTCTCCTCCCAAGACTCGTCGGACATTGATCGTTCAATTGACTCAGGCCGATGTCTCGTATCCTTTTCTCCGACAGCTGGTGGCAGATGGTGGCTACCAAGGTTCATCTAGAATGGCCCGTGCGCCTTTACTGCGTAGGTTGTCGCCAGCGGGCCTGGCCCAGCGCGCGCCGCCGATCATAAGTGACGGGGGGGCGCCAAATTGTGCTCGGAGCTGCCTCGTCTCGGCTCAGCTTCTTCAGTTCAAACTCCATTTTTCCTTTTCCATTTCCACTTCACCAACACTTCACTTTCGTCCAACTCTGCACTTCACCGTCTTCTGGTGGTCTGTAGACAGGCAACGAAGATTTGTATTGTTTTGTTCGCCACCGCTGCTAATCAACACGTGGTATAGGGATTGGAATAGCGCATCAATTGCTTCTTCTTTTCGTCTTTTCTTCTTTTATTCGGCTGTGCCATCTATATAGACAGACACCGTTACGTTATCCATTACATACAGTTGGCATTCGGTCAATTGCTCGGTGTACTGAGCTGGGCTTTCTACTTGAAACGCTTCCAACCTTTCTACGGCCAAGGAGAAAAAAACAGATGGCGGGAGGACCGGCAGTGGCTGCAATGCCCGCAAGAGGAGGAGGGCCGCTTGGAGGGACAATGGGAGCATCGACTTCCTCAAACTCATCACTGATGGCCACGCTCAACCCTGAAGAGCGTCATGAACTCGAGCAGTACGAAAAGATCCTGCGCTTCCGCGATGAGGTGGTCAGCGGTACACACCCGCGCATTAAGCCAACACATGTTGGAAAACCGACCAGCGGCCCTGGGCCAGTCCCTCCAGCCAATGCCTCTTCCACCGCTTCGGCAGGCCAGGCGCCTGGGGGACCAAAGCCGGCTGTGAATGGGAACCGCGCAATGACTGATAACTTGCAGCAGGCAAACCTCAAGAAGCCGGCGGTGAATCTGGGTGGAAATGTGCTGCCTGGCTTGGGGACCTTGTCCAACTCTTCTTCTACAACCGAGCAGTCCAAGCCGAAAGTCGAAATCAACCCCATCTTGTTGGAGAAGTCGGAGGACTTGATCAAAGCCGAGATTCAGCTGCAAAGACAGCGGATCGAGCGTTCTCTCCGCGAAGACTTTGAGCAGCGGAAAGTGTCCCATAAGGGCGCCCTGCAGCCGTCCGAGCAGCCTGCTGACTTCGACATTGCCGATGTGTTGGCCAAAGCATTGATCCTGGTTCAAGCAAATGCCGCTCAAACTACTACTGATGACACTGTTGCTAACGCTTCAGCTTCGGGCGACTCGTTCGATGACAACACGTTTTACTCGAGCCAACACGGCACCCCCGACTCTCACCACCAGCTAGCTCGCGTTCCCAACGAGTCCGAAGACGAGCAGATGCGCGATGGCTCTCCCTACGAACCCGAGCTAGACCTCGAGCCCCTTGCGGTCCCAGCCGCCAACCACCCCAAGCCTCCTCTCCCGAGTGCGCCGGCAGCGCCTGCAAACCAACCGTTCAACGTAAACGTGCCGGACACGTCGAGCGCGGCTACAAGTGTCAGCAGGGCTGCTCGCAAATTCCCCCCGTCCGAAGCTGTCAGTTCTCGTGACAGTGGCCCGGCAAGTCGGTCCGAAGAGTCGACGACCCATACAGGAAAGGAACGGGGTGGTGGTGGCTCGCGAGACTTGTCGAGAGTTAACGAGCAGCTATTGAGACAGGCGGTAGGACCTGCGGGGTCACCAGTTGTTCGTGCCCATAATCTTTCCCCTTTCGCACCCCAGCCATCCCGTGTCTCCCCCTTGCCTACTGCTGCTCTTGAACAGCCGATTGCTCTATCGGAGACGGGCGGTCGTCGGGCCACTCCGCCACCGGCCCAGGGGGTCGCTGCTCTCAGGAAGCAGCCCTCAGCTGTTTCTAGTCCGGAAAGCTCACCCCACGGAGGAGAACGGCCTGGGGAGAGGAAGAAGAACAAGAAAAAGAAGAGAAAGGCAGATCGACTTGCCGAGGCCGCTGCCGCATCGCCGTACATTAAGCCTGAACCGCGATCCCCATCTCCCATGTCAGCTCCCCAGTACACACGTCCGGCCAAGCGTCAGAAACAGGGGCAGCAACAACAACACCACCACCACCAAGGACCTGACTATGATGATGCAAGGTATGGACAGCCAGGTTCCGTAGAGGGTGCCTACCAAGAGCGCCTGCAGCCAAGAGTACAAAGGGAGGAGCGGGTTGTGGGATATGAGCGGGAAATCGACCCTCGTCCGCGTCTCGAGGGCGAGCCTCTGCTCGCCACCCCCAGGTATGAAAGGGTCTACTACGATGATCCCAGAGCACCATTCAGTGGTGGTCGGTTGCCCGGCTCGCCAGGCATGCATCCTTCCCCTTACATCCCCCGCGAGGTGCGCGTGGCACCGAGGAACGTGATTTACGAGGTTTCTCCGGCAGATGATGGTTATTATCGCGATATTCGTGCTGCTTCAAGGATGAGCATGCGCCCCGCAGCGTATCGTGAGCGTTCGTCACGATCACCAGTTGCGTACGAGCGTGTTGCACAGCCAATGGCTCCTCCTCCCAGGATGCCCGCCACTCGCATCGTTGTTGATGCTTTCGGTCGGGAGTACATCGAGCCGCCCCGGCCCCAAAGTGTGGTTGCAGATAGACCCGAGATTGTGTATGCTCGCCCGCCGCCGCCGCCGCCTCCACGTGCTGTTACCCGGAGGCCTGAAGGCTATGATGACGAGGTAATGGTTTACGAACCGACTTCACCCGGTTATACTCCTCAGCGACGTGTGATTGCTCAGCCAGAGTACGTTGCCCCTGAACATAGAGTGTACAGGGAGCGTGCTTATTCCACTCACCCCATGGCCCCACCGTCCGGCGATTACGTGCCGTCCAGACTCCGGCCTGTTGTCGAGACGCCTCCGGACTACATCGCGAGACCGGGTAGCGTCCGCCCGCCGATGGATCCCCCTCGCTACGAGAGTGTTGCAGCTTACGACCTACGGGCGGTGGACGAGCGCCCCCGCGAATACTATGGCGGCAGAGCAGCTAGCGTCCGGCCAGTGGCAGAGGCAGTCCGCTACGAGGCTCCTCCTCCTCCTGCTCCTCCTCTTGGCTACGAAAGACGCATGGGAGGAGAGCCGAGCCTCAGGGAATATGCCACGATTCGTTCAGCAAGCGTTAGGCCACCCCCTCTTGATGCGGCCTCTAGGTATGAGGTCAGAGGCGACTACGGAGCAAGGCTGGGAAGTGTGCAGCCGGAGATGGTCGGTCGTGAATATCAGGGACGTCAGGAGTTAAGGAGGGAGGTTATGCATCCGCCGCCGCCGCCGCCGCCGATGGGAGGGCGCGCTTATAGTGTGTTTCCGCCCGAGCAGCCGCCTACTCAGGTGATGCGTGGAGATGGCGGTGCGTATGGGGATGAGAGGTATTATGCAAGGCCGCCGCCTGTTCAGCAGCAGCAACAGCAGCAGCAGCAAGAGGATGATGAGGTTGTTTACTTGGACCGGCCTCCCATGCGGGATGTCTATCGGCAATAAGATTGGGGTTTTACGAGGAGGGAGAACCCAAAAGATGGAACCTGGATGTTTTGGCAACTCCAAGGCAGGGACTGGCTTGGAGGGAGGTGTTTGGTTTTTGCTTTTTTGGAAAGTAGTGATAGAACTAGATGTTCTATCCTTAACGTTACCGATGTACATCTTTCATCGCCATCGTTACTAAGGTAATCATGGTGGCAAGCGAATGTGGAGTATTAACTGGCAGGATAGCTTGTTTGTACGAGGAGACGGTATATATTATATAGCGCGGATGAGGAAACATGTCATATTACCAGCGTCCAAAAAGGAAACATCAGCGCTATGGGCTGCAGAGTGCAGGAGACGAGTATATAGGTGTATCACGAAGTTTGAATCAAGCGAAGAAAAAAGAAATCTGAAGAAGAAACAACGAGCCAGACAAAGTCGAAGCAGAGGATATTTGCCCACGTAAACAGGACATTGATCAACATCGGAGATATATCTATCCGTTTTTCCCGTTGCCCGTTGCCCATTGCCCGTTGCCCTCCCGTCCCGTTCGGAAATCGGAACTGCGGATCCGAACAACTAAGTTCCAGAACAGCGGGAGTCCAGCAACAACGTCATCACTCACCTCACCTCACCTCCAAAAAAGTAGTACCTACTGTGTAAGAAGACTCCACTGGATTATATTACACGTGTACATCCTACGCAGCACAGTGTCAGACGTGTATAGAGAAATAGAAGAATAGTGTAGTTTTCCCGCTGAGCCGCGCGGTAGTTTTTATGGGCACCCGCACCAGTAGTGGATTGTAGTGCAATTCAAGCCTCATTTTTTTTTTTTTTTTTTTTTTTTTTTTCTCTTTGACTTCACTTTTGATGATACGAGATTGTCAAAGGTCAGTCTTTTCTTCTTCCTTCCTGCTGGTGCGTGCTTGCTTGTCGAGTTGCCAAGGTTAGAATAGGTGGTTGTTATAGGTTGCCTTACCTCACCTTGCCTTGTCTTGCCTTGCCTTGCCTTGCCTTGCCTTGCCTTGCTTTGCTTTGGTCTTTGGTCCTTTCTGTGGAAACTTGGACAGTGGTGTCGGTGCGTGGTCCTCGGTCCTTGGTTAGTGGTCCTTAATCAGTGGTCAGTGGAAACCTGACCTGACTGCATGACAGGCGAGAGGCAAGGCAAGACAAGACAAGACAGGGCAGGCGAACGGTAAGGCAAGACAGGGCAAGACAGGGCAAGACAAGTCAGGGTACAGTAGGTAGGGCAAGGTAAGGCAGGGCAGAGCAGGGTAAGGTGAGATGCTCGGTGAAAAGTCAATCCTCTTGGAGAATCTTGGGGAGGGGGTGGGAGAATCAGACAGGTCAAGTATATTTGGGGTTATGTACGTTGCAAGTTCAGTTGCATATGAGTTGCTTCATAGCCAGCAGGGAAAAAAACGCGTAATGAAGATCCAGGAATGAAGGGATCTTCGCGAGGCGGCATATACTACACTACAGCTTGGCGGTTAACTGGCTGGTAGGCGTGTGAGAATCTGTAGATCGATCAGGGACAGGGACGAAGGGACGGATTTCGGTGATCTTCCGTCTATCCTATAAAGGTGCAAGTCGGGCAAGGAGGGGGAGCTCGGTAAGAAAACAAAAGAAAAAAAAAGAAAAACCACCCAGCTCTGTCTGTCCACTTGGCGACAGAATTGAATGTTTTCTACCTTGTTTTTAGTAACGAGAAAGAATCTGGCATTATTTTGCAGTCCGATGCTGTCCTTTATTCAGCAGCCTCAGTCTATAAACGAGATGAAGGACTTTGAATCTTTGCTGACTGTTGTTGTCGTCTACCCCTTTAGAACGAAACCCCTGCCTTCTTGCCGGTTCGAGATTCGAGGAGGCTCTTGACCCCCCATGGCAAACAATGAAACAAAACAAAACATTGAGGGGTTCGGGGACTGGGACTGAGACTGGGACAGACGGGCATAAGGATAGTAGTACCTTTGCATGTGATTACCTGTATGTACATAGGACTTGCGTTATGAGCCGGCGAACCGTGGAAGAACAAGGCGATGTAAGGCAAGTTTAAAGTGCGGTATATGTCGGTATACCGAGCATTCTGGACAAGCCCAACTGTATGTAACCTTATTTGACCTTGTTGCTTCATCAGGCCTGAACAATGTCAGGCAGTTTTCAGGCAAGGCATTGGAAGGCTAGACCAAGGTACGGTTGACGATCCCTTCACTCTTTGGGGCAGGTATTTTCGGTGGGTTGAAGGGTTGTTGTGTCGTTCAGCATTGGAGGTTAGGTTGTTTTGGACAGGCCTGGTTGATTGGTACACAGGTAAGGCCAGATGCCGAAGGACGGGAGTTGAACACTTGCACACCACCCACACCCACACATCACACACACACACACGTATCCACATTCGAGGATACCCTGGAGGGTTAGTGGGAAAGGAAAAGCCAGTGAGAAGTTGAAGAAACTGAAGAAGGGACAGTTTGAAGTTTCAAGTGTGCAGTGTGATGTACAGATGCAAGTACATGGTACAGTAGTGTAGTGTTGGGCTTGACTGGCCTCGATATGGAGGAATGGATGGAGCTGTCTATTTCCACTCGAAATGTCTTATACCCAAGTGTTATCGTGGTAGCTTGAGCTAGACGACGACGGGAAAGGTGTCTCTTGAAGATACTGGAGCGTCTTCATGCCCCATGTCTAGGAGGTGCCTGCCTGACTGCCCTGGCCGGCCATTCTGGATGCTGACAGCGAGTGATACGACGGGACCATGAAATTGGAGATGGGTGGTGTGTGTGTGTGAGTGTGTGAAAAGCAGCCAGAGCACACTCGCTGCTGCATGGACACTTCCCTTGCAATGGCACTGCACCGCCTACGCAGGTGCTGAGTGCCCTGGTTGCCCACTTTTGCCCGCTGGTTGAACCAGTCACGATGGAGCAGACCTTGGAAAATGCACAGACCAGTCGTCTGTCTCCATTTAAATGAGCTGTCCAATGGCTCGTGCGGCGCCCTGGGGGATCCACCGCTGGGCGTCTCCCGATGGCTCCACGCTCCCTCCACAACTGAACCTGGTACTCTACCGTGCAATCTGGTCCGTGCTCCCGTCAGTTCAGTCGCTCAGCTTCCATCTCCCACACTCGAGACTGGGTGAGTGGCCCGGGACTCTCAGTCTTCGGTTCCATGCCCGACTGCCCGTGTCCAGTGTGTGTGTGTGGACTCGCTCACTGAGTGGACTGCCGCCGTGTGCTTGAACTCGCTGCAGTCTGTCCTGGCCTTCCTTGAGCAGCCAGGCCACTCTCGAGCCACTTTGAGCACCCCGACCACCGACTGGAATCCGTATCCTACAGCACTACACACAAGCGGCAGTTTCTCCTCTTGCCTGGTTCCTCCGCGTCCGTCTATCTTACTTCTCCTCCACCTTTCCCCTCCCCCAACCCGAACACCACTCACTCTGCTTCTGCATACATCAACCAAAGGAAAAAGAGCATCCCACCTGCTTCTTTTCCGCTTCTCTTTTCCTTTTTACCAATTGTCAAGTTCTTTGAGATACCCCCTTTTTTTCTCGTTTTAGTTCTGCGATTCCTGGCACGAGCCTTGCCGCCCTCTCCGAAGCGCTCCCTCCCACCCCCCTCCCCAGTCGTGTCCAGCCATCATCATCACAAGCAGCAGCACCAGCACCAAGCAGCGTAGCAGGAGGACCGACAGTACCTAACAACAACGAAACGACTTACACAAGCAGCATACATCATACGCCTTTGCCCCCGTTACGCTGCCCCTCGTTCGTTCGCTGTGGTCTTTTGTCCCCGAACGCACCAGCAGACACCACCACCACCACGACATCCGACGAAAGGCAGCAAGCAGTGTGCAAGAGGGCCCGGTACCTTTTTACCTACATAACACAACCAACACAACAGACACGGGCACCGGCAACGACGCCCCTCCTCCTTCGGCCTCTCTCTTTTTACAGTGTAGCCAGCGCGCAGTGGCCTCATTTCCGGGCTTACTGCTGACCTGACCTGGCCTCCCTGTCGCCCTTGTCATTCAGCCTGCTTCCCAGCCGTGCGCCTTCAGTCGCTCGACCACGATGAATAAACTAGCAAACATGCGTCACTGGCCCGAGAGGATGAGCCCCAACTTTGGCATGTCGCGGTCGTCAATGGGCATGCCGCAAATAATGCACCAGCCCAAGATCGCTCCCCAGGGTCCTCCACCAATCTCGAATCCCCAGCCTCCCGATGCCATGATTCACTACACGTTCAACGTCCACTTCGCCTCCGATCTCGCTGGCCCCGACACCGAGGACATCCTCCACTCGACCACGGATGCCGTTTTGAGATGGACACATCCCGAGGATGCCCCCGATGACGTTCCCGTGTGGCAGCTCCCCGTGCACACCCAGAATGTCGAGAACCTGCGCCGCCGTTGCGAGGACCTCACCAACAACCCCATGCCCATCGAGGCCCACGTCAACGCGACCACCCCCAAGAATGGCCGCAACCAGATTGTCACCGTGACTCTGTCAGGCACTGCCGATTGTGTTTACAAGACTCGGGAAACCATCTTGAACGAGACACCCTCTCTGATGGTGGGTTATCCACGTGTCCCATCTGTTTCTTTGTGACCCATTATGCTAAGTTGATTTTGTCCAATAGCGCTGCACCCATGTTGATGTTGACGGCCACTTGGTCGCCGATCTCACAGAGGGCCGCCTGAAACCGTCCGTAACTGCCTTCCTGGACGAGGTCTCCAAGTTCTGTGGTGTTGATATCTTTCTTCTGGGCCCCAAGCTCACTCCCCTTGAGGACGGACTGAATGGAGGCTTGTCCATGCGCAGAGACCAGCGTTGGAGGGTCGCCATCTACGGTGACCACATTTCTGCTGAGCACGCCAAGTCCCGTGTGCTTATTAAGATCGACCAACTTGTAGGCACTTCTAAAAAGAATGATTGTCCCGTGATATCGAATGCTTGCTAACAACTCAACAGCTTGGGAGAATCGTTGATGCTGTCCAGATCGACCTGAGCGTGCAACCGCTTCTGTGTGGCCGAAACCGGAAGAACATCAAACACATCGAGTCTGCCACCAACACGGCTATCTACTTCCCTCCGTGCTTCTCCCACGCCTATGGATACTGCCCCCCTGGTGCCTTACGCCGTAACCCCGACGAGGTCTTCATCACTGGCGAGACCCCCGAGGCCATTTCGCAAGCCAAGACGCGGATCCATCAGATCCTGACAACTATCAGACTCTTTGTCAAGGATGTTACCATCGCCATGCCCAAGATTGACAGCATTTTGCTGGGTCGGATGGACAAGGTGCGCAAGATTATGGAGACCAACAGTGTCTTCATCATGCTCCCTCCGCTTGCCTCCAGACAAGGCACGATTCGTTTCCAGGGTCCCGAGAACCTCCATGTCGAGCGTGCCATCCGCGAGCTCATGTCATTGGTAAGCTTTTGCTCCCTTCATGTGTATTTCTGGACTAGCTTCCAAACTAACCCCTGTTTTTAGGCCGGCCAATTTTACCATGCATCCTGGTGGATCAACCAGCCGGATCCTCGCCTGCTTCCCAGCGCTCAGGAGATTCGAGCCTTGCTCAGCGATGTTTGCGCCAACTCCGATGCCGATATCGCCTTCGACAAGGTCGCCTTTACGCTTACCGGCTCTGATGAGGCCGTCAAGGAGGCTCTCCAGGTCCTGTCGGACATCAAGTTCGTGACCACAGTCCAGCACCAGATTCGTGTCAAGATTGAACTCGCCAATGAGCACAAGGAATTTGTGAGCGGCAAGAAGAACGGCAAGATCAACAAGATCATGAGCCACTGCAATGTTCAAATCGTTTTCGACAACTTTGGCGAGTACAACTTCAACATTGACGTCTTGGCACACAACTACACCTCGATGAAGGAGGGTTTGACTTTGGTCGAGCAAGAGATGCCCGCGTCCATTTCTTTCCACGTCCCGGACCAGTACCATAAGCGTATCATTGGTATCGGTGGCCAGCATATCCAGCGCATCATGAAGAAGCACTCCGTGTTTGTCAAGTTCTCAAATGCCATGGATCGGGGTAAGTCTACTTCACCACCGTATAAAATGATAAATGAGGATTGTATGCTAACGTTTGATCAGGAGGAATGGGCCGTGATGATGATGACAGCCGTGTTGACAACGTCATTTGCCGGACTCCGGCCCGCAACGCCCAGAATCTCGAGCTCGTAAAGACCGAGATTCTGGAGATGGTTGATCGTGAGGTATGTGGTTACCCTCTTTGAGGTATACCAATTCAGTAATTGACTCCCAAATAGGACTCTGAGATCACCACGCAAACCGTCAACGTCGATCGTCTATACCACCGTCAACTCTTGGCCCGTCTGCCCGAAATCGAAGTGCTGGAAAAGAAGTACAACTGCAAGATCAGCTTCCCCAGCACCGAACAGGCTAGTGATGAGGTGACTGTTCAGGGACCTCAGTGGCAGGTCCCCATGTGCGCTGACGAGTTCTTGGTAAGTTTAGAGCCGCCGATCATCCTGGAAACAATCGAATCATAACTAACGGTACTGCTATAGGGCATGGTTCCGGACAAGCACGAGGTGGTTTTGGAGCACTCTGAGCCTTTGGTCAAGTTCCTCGAGTCCCCCGAATTCCTCCAGAATATTGTTCCCAAGCTGAAGTCTCAGCATGAGGTCCAAGTCTCTGTGCACGAGAACACCGAGGACCGCGCAGCTGATGCCGCCCCCACGGTCACTTTGCTGTGGGCCTTTACCCGCAACAATGCCGGTGGCCTGCGCGACGCTATGGATTTTCTCCATAGCCAGTTTGCTACGGCTGGAATTGAGCCAGTCGTCATCAAGGGTGCCATTCCCCGTCCCCGATCTGACACGTTCGAAGAGGCGCTTCAGTATTTCGACTCTAAGATTCTTCAGCATGTGGCTGCCCCTGTTGCTACGGATGCGCCTGCGACGCCTACGTTTGGCGAAGACCTTGTCCGTGAGCGCAGCAACATTTTCGACCGCCTCCGCAAGCCCGGAAGCATGTCTCTTTCCTTCTTGGACCGCAGAAAGAACAGCTCTCACTCTGCAACCAATTCGTTCTTCAAGGGTTCCGCCAATGTCTCCAAGACTTCGTTGATTTCGATTGAATCATCCCGGAGCTTCAACGCTGATCGTAACCCGTGGAACGATAGCGGTGTTAACCTCCCGGATGACGACAACAACCCTTGGGGCACTTCGCGTGTATTCGAACCCAACGGCCTCATTCACAAGCTGGCCATTCCCATGGGTGGAGATTCTACTCCACGCCACGGCACCCGCCATTCTGGTGACAGCGGGCGCCCTTCTACGTCTCATTCTACGAATTCAGGATACCCCGGCCCTCTTTCTGGGCCATTTCGTTAAGTTCATTCCGCTATCGAGATTTTAGACTTATGGATCGTTTCGTCACTTGCGAGGAAAACAAAAAAGAAAGAAATACCCCTACGGCTGGATATACCCAACGGCGTACAATACCCCGGTAGTTGCTCTTCTGCATTTGGTCGGCTGCGTTCTTTGTCCTTTTTCCTCTAGTCTCTTGTTGCATTTCTTTTCCGATCCTGGCTCTCAGGGGCAATGAATGATGGGGGGGGGGTTTCACTGGCTTCGTTTGGCCTTTTTTTGCGAAACGAGATGATGGCGCGCTGTTTTTACCGGGGTGGGTAAAAGCATGAGACCGTCTCGCCTTTGCGGGAACCCGGGCCTCCGCAAATTGATGGGGAACACGGGATTTGCAAACAGGAATCTCTTTGCCTCTTTATTTCACGTCAGATGAGAGAAGACCAAAATGGCCATCATGTGGGATGATGGTTATGTGACAGGATGACGGCCGCGCACACGGGAAAGATACCTCTACAAAGATACCACTTTGAGTTTTTGCACGCACGCAAGTTTGTTGCGACCTTTTTTTGTTGTTGTTGTTGTTGTTGTTGTTTCTGTTTTAGTATTATTATATCCTTGCGTTTCTTGGTTCGTATCTATCTGTCTTGTGTCCTTTCTGTTTTATGTCCATCGTATATCAAATACCACCTAGCGTTTTGGCTTTTGAAGCGAAAGTCTTATCTCTCGGATTTGTCTGTCCTGACATGACATGATTAAACATTGCTTCCGCTCCTAGTTGTTCTATGATTGTCATGTGGGTTTGACAGAGCGAGAAATCGTGGGCGGGCTGATATGGAAGAGAGTAAGAGAAGGAGTGGGTGCGAAGCTTGAAGTCATTTGGTGGATGAAAGATCACGTCTTGGTAAACGTCGTGGGTGGTGGGATGAGATGTGAAGAAAGAGTTGGTGACAGACTGAAGGAAAAACAAAACAAAACAAAAGAGAATCCTTAGATACCCAGCGGAATGAGGTAGTTTGGCGTTGCAATACGAAGAGTTTTTACGTCTTGGTCAAGGCTAGGTATATCAGTGGTCTGTTTGTGTGAAGCTGTGGTTTTTGTCCATCCACTCACTGTGTAGATCTTCCATCCTTCCAATTCCCCGGCCGGCCGTGGCTGTCTGCCCTGGCTACCTAGCTATGTCATTGAATTGCTGTAGTGTAATGGCGGCTCCAGTCGGGGATGGAATTGTGGGGTGCTGCTGTTAGGGCACCCGCTGTGGTCGCGGGGCGCAGGCGCTAAAGCGCGTTAAGGCGCCCAATGAATGGCGCTGATGCGGCGGGAATCATCACTGGTGAATTGATGTAGGGTGGTCAAGTTAGCACTGCCCTGGGGGACCTGATGCCCCCCACAGACAATGGAACCTGGAACCAACGAACTTAAGCGTGCTGAAGAAGCCGCTTGGCCCATGGACAGCCCAGAGAGGCACCTCCCGGGCATCCATTCACCACCTTTGATCGACAACCGAACCGCGTTCTCCCTTCCACCGTCCGTGACGCCGTCCCCGGGGCTTCGAATGATACTACAGACCAGACACCTTGACGGAAGAAAAGCCGCAACTCTGGCCGCCGAAACAAGCACCAATCCCACCACCACCGCCGCCGTCTCTCGGTCATCCGTCGTTGAGCTCGTCCGAGTCCGAGAGCCTTCAGTGGCCTGCTCCGTTGCTCCCCTGCCGTATCACGTCACCCATGTCTACCATTGCTGATGGGGATTGCCGCTACCGATTTCTCAACCCTTAGCATATCCACCAGTGCATGCCACTGCTCTGTGTTCATACCATTGATTCTCATCGCCCAGTATGGATCGCCAAAGACGGCGTGAGTCTGCAGTCCTTCCCCTCCGCCCCCCCTCTCTTCCCGCTTTTCTGTTCACGTTGGGCTGTAACTCGGCTCTTTGGCTTTTGTTGAGCTAACGATTCGTAGGTGAGCTGCGGGCGCTGAACTCGAGGGCTTGGAATGGCGAACAAGGTACGATTTACGAGATTCTGCTGCGCCCGATATCCAGTCGGCCCATTGCTCACGCTCTTCACTTTCCACAGATCTCTTTCCCGTCAGCAAGTCCCTCGACTCTACCCTAAAGAAAAACACTGCTTTTATCAAGCGTCTCCGAACCACCATCTCCGCCGCCACCCAGAGCACCTTCCTCCAGGAGATCCGCACCGTCAGCCTCTCCAAATACCTTTCCGAAATCATCTCAGCATGCTACGAGGGCCTCTGCAAGCTCAAGTCTCCCGGGGACATCGAAGCCGGCGTCGAGATCGTCAGCGCCCTGCACCAGCGATTCGGACCCGCCGACTTTACCGAACACTTGGGCTGGCTTCTGGGCAAGGGCATGGCCACTCCCGATAAGAGTTTCCTCAAGACCCTTACCCCCGAGGCGAGAGAGAAGGAAGAAAAAGACCGCTTGGTTCGACAGCGCGTTCTCCTCCGCGTCGTGACCGAGCTCTGGCTTGTCGATGTTCTGCGGACCCTGGACGATATTGCTCGCCCCGACGACGCTACGAGACCGACCACGGGAGCCAGAGCCGAGCCGAAGCCGCGCTCTTCGTCCGGCAAGGGAGGCGGTGCTGAGCCCTTTCCGCTCGAAGTTCTGAAGGATCTCTTGAATCACGATCGAGACCATGCCAATCTCCCCTTGCTCGTCATTTTCGTCAAGGCTTTCAGTTGGGATATCTTGGGTATCAAGGCTGCGGGCCAAGATGGTCGTAAAACCGTGGAGGAGGATGGCGCTACCAAGGGCGCCGAGGAGACCGAAGGCGACGGATCCCAAGACAAGGAGGAAGGTGCGGGCACGGATCAGGACGGTCCCTTTGCCCCTCCTGAGTTGCAGGAGCGCTTCAAGAATATCCTCAAGCGCTACTTTGAGGACGTCAAGGGCCACCTTGTTCGGAACCAAAAGGCTATCTACAACCAGTCGCGCAAGAATGCGGAGGCGTATGTCAAGTCGGGAGAGGTCTTTGAGGATCGCCAGTCAAACTTTGAGAAGCAGGTCAAGGCTCAAGAACGTCTCGTGGCCAATGCGCAGGTTATTGCTGATATCATTGGCGCGGAGATGCCTGAGTTGAAGGATACTGATGAGGGCAACTCCGCAAATGGCACGATCGGCCTGGTCAAGGCCGGTGAATACCTCCGTGGACAGGGTGAGGGGCCCGGAATATGGGAGGACGAAGAAGAGCGTCGCTTCTATGAAAACTTGGTTGATCTGAAGGGCAAGGTTCCTGGCATTCTGCTTGAAGAAGTTAAGAAGAAGAAAGCCGATGATGAACAGGTGGGCAGGAAGATTGACCCTGTTGAAGCCGCGGAAGCTGCCAAGGCGGCCGAGGCTGCTGCCGCCGATGACCAGTCTATTGCTATTGCGAACAAGACAATTGGCGCTCAGGTTGACGCCCTGCTTGTGCGCCTTCCTGAGCTCATCAGCAAAGACGCCATTGACCAGATGGCTATCGACTTCTGCTTCCTCAATTCGAAGGCGTCTCGCAACCGGCTCATCAAGGCCTTGACCGATGTGCCCAAGGGACGTACCGACCTCCTCCCGAACTGGGCTAGGCTTGTTGCCACACTTGGTCAATACATGCCCGATATCCCCAAGGGCCTTGTTGACCACCTTGACAATGAGTTCCGTAGTCTCCAGCGGCGCAAGGAAAAGGAGTTTCTTGGGCAGGTCAGGCTGAGCAACATTCGCTACCTGGCTGAGCTGACCAAATTTGGCATTGTTCCGGAGCACGTTGTCTTCCACTGTCTCAAGGTCAGTTTGGATGACTTTTCGCGGATGAACATTGAGATCATTTGCAACCTGCTTGAGAACTGCGGCCGGTACCTGCTTCGTAACCCGGAGACTTCTCCGCGTATGGCTTCCTTCTTGGAGACGCTGCAGCGCAAGAAGTCGGTCCAGCATATTGGACAGGCCGAGAGGATGCTCATTGAGAACGCTGTCTACTATGTTGATCCGCCGCAGCGCCCTGCCATTGAGGTGAAGGAGAGAACGCCTATGGAGCTCTTCATCCGCAAGTTGATTTATGGCGATCTCACCAAGAGGAACTACAGCAAGATCTTGAGGCATATCCGCAGGCTGCACTGGGAAGAGAAGGAGGTCGTCGCGATTCTGCACAAGGTCTTCTCCAAGCCCGGAAAAGTCAAGTATGGTAACATCCATCTCTTGGCCATCCTATTGAGCGCCCTCTACAAGTATCATGGCGAGTTCGTTGTCGGAGTCATCGACCAAGTGACCGAGTCTATCTGCCTCGGCCTGGAGTCGAATGACTTCAAGTTCAACCAGCGCCGCATCGCTGAGGTTAAGTACCTTGGAGAGCTCTACAACTACAGAATGCTGGAGCACCCAGTCATCTTCGACACCATGTACAAGATCATGACGTTTGGTCACGGCGGCCCGCCCGTTCCAGGCCGCGTCAACCCCTTCGATTTGCCCGATGACTTCTTCCGCATTCGCCTCATCTCCACCATCCTTGAGACCTGCGGTATGTTCTTCAACAAGGGTGCTGCTGGAAAGAAGCTCGATTTCTTCCTCTCCTTCTTCCAGTACTACATCTATACGAAGAATCCGCTGCCCATGGACGTCGAGTTCCTCGTCCAGGACATCTTCGCCCTCACGCGGCCGCAGTGGAAGCTTGCATCCAACCTGGAGGAGGCGTCCAAGGTGTTCCAGCTGGCCATGGTCCAGGATCAAAAGACATCTGGAGTCGAGAGGGTCGTCGAGCCGGAGGACAACGATAGTGACGTGTCCGACGACGAAGACGGCATGGTCCCAGATGAGGATGAGGACGACGAGTCGGACGACGATGATGGTGGCGAGGCTGAGGACAATGAGCAGCAGGATAACACTTCGAGGTACGACAGTGAATCTGAAGAGGAGGAAATTGTCGTTACCAGACAGCAAGAGGAGGTTGATCCGGAGGAGGAGGCCGAGTTTGAGCGCGAGTTTGCCAAGATGATGGCCGAGAGCCTGGATTCCCGCAAATTCGAGCGCAAGCAGCAGTTTGACCTGCCGCTTCCCATCAAGCTCAAGCCTCGTGAGTCTACGGCTGTTGGCGAGTCCTCTGCTGCCAACGAGGCCGGACCCTCGGAGGCTCCTCCCTCCGGGGAGAAGATGGCTTTTTCGCTTCTCACGAAGAAGGGTAATCGCCAGCAGGTATGTGACCACCCATCAGTCCCACACAGAAGAGTCCAGTACACTGACAACACTTACAGACTCGCACCGTTGAACTGCCTTCGGACTCGCACTTTGCTATTGCTATGAAGAAGAAGCAACAGGCAGAGAAGGAAGAGCAGCAGCGCATCAAGAACCTTGTCCTGAACTATGATCTCCGGGAGAACGATGATTATGAGGGTAACGAGAAACTCAACGCCCATCACCATAACCGCTCCGATCTTAGGTTGAACAAGGAGCGGGGTGGACAAAGAGTGAGAAAGTTGCAGCTTAGTGATGTTGATTGGTAAGTCATTTGTCGTTCGTGGTCACGACTCAAGCAACATGAAATGCTAATGCGAAATACATAACAGGACTTGATCATGATCTTTGAGCGAGAATACGTATTATTCTTCAAAACTACACCACCGTGGAGACAAAAGAGCGCATCGCGTTCACCACAGTTCGACGGTTTCTCTTGCAAGCAAGCAACAAGTTCACACAGCAACACAGCAAGCAAACAAGACCGCGTGTAGCTTTTTTTCCCAAAAGCAGTTCACAAATCAGAATCAGCAACTCACTCGCTGGACTTCACGTCTCATTCCTTTGGAGAGAGAGCAACAAGCACAGAACAGTACAGCACAGGCCTAAGCCAACAGCACCATGCCTGCCGGCCGAACCCCGAATGAGTATACAAGCTACTACATCGTTTACTCGATGGTAAGGCGCTGAGCAATGGCTGTCGATGGCGGGTTAGCACATGGGTTGGGTGAGTAAGTGTTGAAAAGAAAAGTGGGTGGAAGTGGCGAAGGAAGGAAGGGAGAAAGGAAGGGGTGACGCAGACGACCAACCAACCAACCAACCCTTTCAAGCGAGCGTGCGGTACCATACCGGCTATTTTAGCGATGGAACTCCTTCTTTTTTTTTTGTTTTTCCAGACTGGATCCGCGTTATTTATGCTTCCACTCAGCTTTCTGGGGGTGCGTATTGACCGTCGCATGGGATTAATAGGCAGGCAGAAAGGGTAACAGGGGTCGGTTTTATCAAGCTGAACCGCTTGGTGCCGGTGCCGGTGCCTGGGAGGAAGTCAAGTACAAAAAGGGCTACCGACTTTTTGGGGAGGAAAATTCTTGGGTTTGCTTCAGTTGGGCTAAGTGGGCAAGGGTAAATAAAGTTCACAAAAAGGAAAATTGGGGGAATGAGAGATTTGCGTTGGAGAGACAAAAAAAGAAAGAAAATAAAAACGGAGGTGTTTGACGTTGATGAGGATCGCGAACAAGAAAATCAAGCGAGAAAAGTTATAAAAATACTAGATAGTTTTCAAGCATTCGTTGGTCTTGAGTAGGGCATAGTGAGCCCTCAGGTTTTTATTTTGCATATATGCAGATGTTGTTATGGTGTAGGTCCGTAGCTTGTAAGCGAGCGGGCGAGGTAAGTTCAGACAAGGTAGGTAGGTAACTGATATTTAAAGTCTAGTAACGGGTTAATCCCCTTTCGAAACCTACTACATATGTACATTACATTATTAGCAACACTATAGAGGGCAAACAAACGGGCTATTATTCAACATTTATAGCGAAAAACAGAGTTAGTAAGTAGCGTAGGTAGGTAGCCAACACAGCGGTAACATCCGTACACATATTTGCTCGTATCGACGACTGGACCACGACCACGACCGACTATGAGCACGAGCACGAGCATGATTATAAAGTTGGACGGTAGTCTAGACGTAGTACACGAACATGATATCCGATGGTGTTACCGTCACCCATCTTTCTATCCATCCATCCATCACTGGACTCAAAGCCTAGGTCTAAGTCTAGGTCTAGGTCTAGGTACCTAGGTAGGTCTGAGTCTAGCAGTACAAGACTAGTCGTAACTAGCCGTGGTCACCTAGAGATACCTACCTACCTACCTACCTGTGGTGTGGTGTGTGTATGAGATCGATCTTGAGACACAAAACGAATGAAGCTGCTTACCTTACGGAACTAGATGATAATGACGAAGTGAAGTGGTGGAGTGAAGGAAGTGAAGTGGTGAAGGAAGTAAAGAAAATAACTGGAAACAAAGTTGATTCGAGTCCCTTAGATACCTAGGTATGTTAATACCTCTAGTAGGTTTGTAGAACTTGAGGGAGGGAGGGGAGGGGTGGTTTAATTGTTCCTTGCGGATTTTGGTACCTCTATGGGTTCTATGGTAGGTAGTCTTTGTACACTAGAACTACATGGACAAAGTGATGGCGCCTTCCGTTACGTAGTTGGAGAAATGGTGAGAGAGACAGAAAAAAAAAAAAAAAAAACAGTGCAACGAGTAGCTGAGTGGAAGGAACATCTAGCACATTATACCATCTCTCCCCACCAGAAATTGTTCATGTTCAGATGATAGGTCTCTCGTACCTCGTAGATGCAAATCTCAATATGAGGAGGTGGGAGATGGGAGGTGGGAGGTGAAAGGTCCATCGCCATCGAGTATCGACGGACGAGACGTGAAAAACACGGGAAGGAAGCGAGCGGGTGGTGACGCCGACCGGCCGGCCGGCTAAAGAAGCCATATGTATGTACATAAACTAATTCTCATTTATGTCCATATTGAATGAACCGGACTTGGTCACGTTGCTAGTTGGGGCCAGAACCACACTTTTGCTCTTTCCCCTTGAACTCAGTTCGAACTTCATTAACTTTAATCTACTTAGCTTTCGATCCCGCGTTGGCACCCTTGATCTACTAGGCTATGGGAGCATTCGAAAGATGGAGAGATGTGGAAATCGGAAGATGGGAGACGACTACTAACCATGACGTGAGTTCTAGTCGGTCGTCTCTCTTCTTCTCGTCTCGTCGCTCTTGTTTCCGGAAGCCAGATGCGTACATGCTTTTTTTTTTTTTTTTTTTTTTTTTTTTTTCCCCTCAAGTTCGTCGCCTTTTATTTTACCGCCTTGTCTTGCCTGCCTAACCTGGACATGTACGACATTCAATCATGTTCTACCATAATCCTTGCCCTGACTTAACCAAGGTCGAGTCTCCGGAAGTTGTACACACTTTAGTTAACAGGAGTACGACATGAGGTGTAGACATGCAGGTTATTTAGTTTAGGCGCTCGGGACTGGGAGAACGAGTCCAAGGACAATTCGAACATGTGAGAGAGCATGGTACGAAGGACATAACGCCCGTGTGTTCTTCTCGTTGAAGACTTGTTCTTCTCTCTCTCTCTCTCGGATGGAGTGTGCAACGAATCTTTTCCCAACCAACTGCCAGCCAACAACAGCTATCCAGCCAGCCATCCCCTCACATTAGAGACAGTCTCCCTTTCCTACCCGGCCACTGGATCTACATTGTACACACAGACTTCGTGTTGCGTTTAAAGCGTGCGTCGTATCGCCTTGTCTCGTCTGGTGTCGCCCTGCAACCACCCGTCCACCCGTCCCCTCGCCGCCGAGACAAGCGGACCTTGCGTGAAGACCTAGGCAGACCAAACTTTGAGTAGACTGTGACTGTAAAGGGACTGTGACAAGAGTAGTAGAAGAAAAGTCTCGCGTTTGCTGCACCTTTCCGTTTTCCCCCTCTCCCCGCCGTCTTCGGGAGGGACACCGCTTGTTAGTTGCCGGTGTCCGTTATTTCTAGCGGGCGCCCTTTTTTTTGTTTTGTTTTCCAGTTTCTGTGCCGGTTAGAACGTACCGGTAAGAAGAGAAGAGGAGTAAAGAAAAACTAGAAATCCCGGATTTTCTCTGCGGTTCATCACTGCTTCTTCTTCGTTTCGAGAAACTTGGGCAGGTCGATATATCCGGCAGGACAACACTGGACACTGGACACTGGACACAGGACGATATACACGTTTGTCTTTTGGCTGCTCTTGGGGGTGTTGCAGCGTTTGGAGCAGGGTTTAAGAAAGAGATATAAAAAGAAGGGAAAATAAATCGACATGACTATCAATTACCTTGGGGAGGACGAATGGCCTGTGAAAGAGGTAAGGAATCATTCACTGTCTTTGGTGAGTAGGAGGAGAGGGGAATTGGGTCGCCTAGCTAACTTTTGCACTTCTTCTCTCCCAGATCGTCTACACGGCCATCGTGGGCCTGGTCATGCTCGCGGCATGTCTCGAGTGGTTCTTATGGATCGCCGCGTTCATGTACTGTCTCTGGAAAGTATTCGTGAAGGCCGAACACTGGACAGTCAGGGTATTGTCAGTGATCATAGGAATTGCCTTTATGTTGCTGAGGTATGTAATGTTATGTGTTCAACCCATTACAGCCAGCCCTTACAACCAACATGATGTCCAGCCAACTAACTATCGACGTCATCCAGATGTATCTTCCTACCCATCATGATCGTCACCCTCCCGCTTCCCAGCCAAGTCGTCAAAGTCTGGCCACCAGCCATGGTCAGCTTCCTGCAATGGTTCGCCTTCTACAGCTTCGCCGGCCTGCTCACCATCCCCTGGCTCTTCTGCGTCTACCAAATCGTCACCCACCAACTCGGCCGCACCAAGCGCATCAAACAAGTCCTCGACGAAGTCTCGGCGCCCAAAGTCGTCATCGTCATGCCCTGCTACAAAGAAGACCCCGACGTGCTCGTGGCCGCCCTCGACTCGGTCGTCGACTGCGACTACCCGCCCTCATGCATCCACGTCTTCCTCTCCTTCGACGGCGACCAGGAAGACGAGCTCTATCTCAACACCATCGAGAAGCTAGGCGTGCCCCTGACGTTAGAATCCTCCTCCTACCCCAAATCCATCGACGTCGCCTACCAGGACGCGCGCGTCACCGTCTCCCGCTTCCCGCACGGCGGCAAGCGCCACTGCCAAAAGATGACCTTCAAGCTCATCGACCGCGTGTATCGCGAGTACCTGAAGCGCAACGACAACCTGTTTATTTTGTTTATTGACTCGGACTGCATCCTCGACAAGGTGTGCTTGCAGAACTTTGTCTACGACATGGAGCTCAGCCCGGGCAACCGGCGCGACATGCTGGCCATGACGGGGGTGATCACGTCGACAACCCAAAAACACAGCTTGATCACGCTGCTGCAGGACATGGAGTACATCCACGGCCAGCTGTTTGAGCGCACCGTCGAGTCCGGGTGCGGCGCCGTCACTTGTCTTCCGGGCGCCCTGACCATGCTTCGGTTTTCGGCCTTCAGGAGAATGGCCAAATATTACTTTGCCGACAAGGCCGAGAACTGCGAGGACCTGTTCGACTACGCCAAGTCGCACTTGGGCGAGGACCGCTGGCTGACGCACCTGTTTATGATCGGCGCGAAGAAGCGACACCAGATCCAGATGTGCACGTCGGCCTTTTGCAAGACGGAAGCCGTGCAGACGATGCGGTCGCTGATCAAGCAGCGGCGCCGGTGGTTCCTGGGGTTTATTACGAACGAGGTGTGCATGCTGACGGACTGGCGGCTGTGGAAGCGGTACCCGATCCTGATCCTGGTGCGCTTCATGCAAAACACCATCCGCACCACGGCGTTGCTGTTCTTCATCATGGTGCTCGCCCTCATCACCACCACCAAGAAGATCGACGACCTCCCCGTCGGCTTCATCGCCATTTCGCTGGGTCTCAACTGGCTCATGATGATGTACTTTGGCGCCAAACTGCGCCGCTTCAAGATCTGGCTCTACCCCCTGATGTTCGTCCTCAACCCCTTTTTCAACTGGTACTACATGATCTACGGCATCTTCACCGCCGGCCAGCGCACCTGGGGCGGCCCGCGCGCCGACGCCGCAGCCGCCGACTCGACCACCACCGCACAGGAAGCCATTGAAATGGCCGAGAAGACGGGTGACGATCTCAACATTGTGCCCGAGTCTTTTATCCCGGCCGCCCAAGAGCGCAAGGGCATGCTAGAAGACAAGGGCTTCACCACCGGCATTAGCACTGGCGGCGGCGGTGGTCTCGGCCGCTCCAAGAGCATCCTCCAGCCGCCCGACAAGCTGGTGGGCAAGTTCGCTGCGCCTGAGCGTTCTGCCAACGGGTTGTATCAACATTTTGACGACTCCGTGGCTTCCGTCAGCTTGTTTGCCCACGCCGGCGGGTCGTCTATGGTGTTACCTACCGTAGCTGGTTCTGCCGTCACTGGCAAAAGGCAGCAGCACCAACAATACCAACAACAGCAGTATCAGCAACACCAGCTCCAACATCGTGACTCTTTCGACAGCACCTTCTCCGCGCACACCACCGGTGGAAATAGCATGTCGGTGTACATGCCCCGTCGAGTAGAAAGTATCATGGGCGAAGAAGATCGCAGGAAATACGAGCTTGCGCAGGCTAGCTCTGGACACTTGGTGGCGGGTAACCCTACCCGGGTCCTTGGTCCACAACAACAGGCTCCTCCTCCCGGCCAGGTTTACGAGTTTTCCGAGTCCGATCTGAGAAGAGCTGGGTATGATTATACCGAATCGGCGGCAGAGTATGTCGGACGGCAGGCACTCCCTCCCTCGCCGTCACCGTATCGTATGGTGGCAAGTAGTGATAGCGTCGAATCGGTTTCTGGGGGGTGGCCGGCTGCCTCTCCAAGTCTTACCCCCTATCAGGAGTATGGGTATGGGCAGCAAGGAGGGTCGTTCTCTGTGCCTATGCCGCCAGCTCCGAATGAAACGAATCATCAGCAACAACAACAACAACAACATCATAGGAGTCCTCTGGGCAGGGCGAGTTGGATGAGGACGTCAACTATGGATCAAGTGGAGAGTGAGATTGAGGTGTCACATGATGGTGGTTCTGATGCGCCTGGGCATGGAAGGAGAGGGGGGCAGGGGTCACATCAGAGATAGCTTTTGGTGAGGTGAGCTTTTGAGATGTTGAGAGAAGTGATGGGGCTGAATAGGTTGGGCAGGCTGGATGCCACCCCTTTTCTGGGCTGTGTCTGGACATGGGTAAGTCAACAGTGGGGTGGTTACTGGGACAACGGGCGACACTTGTTAGTTCGTATCATGAATTGCGAGAATGGTTTTGTATGTATTAGAATATGAGAATAGCCTAGATGGAACCGGATTTCGTGAGTATGACACAGATTCGGACAATAATAAATTGGTTGGATATTAAGGAAGCGTCTGGCAGGAAAAAGAACGGCGAAGTTGAGGCGGCTCGACATGCTCTCACTTCCATCTTGTACTTGGCAAGTAGAGCAAGTAGGGATTAAAACTTTGTGGCGGAAACCGATGATGGAAGTTGGGTAAGGCAAGTGTGGCGAGGTATGTTTTCAAACCTTCCAGAATCTGTTTACTATCCTTCGAAACATCACGAACCGAGTTGGCCTGTGTGGCATTTTTTGGAACTCGGACGAAACTTTGTGAGGACGGGATAAAGCCTTGCGAGACATGAATCTTGATATGCGATCGTATACAACCGGCCAGAGCCCCAAACGGCAGCCAAGAAACCCAAGAATTGCGCCTGGATTAGGATTGGGTAATCGTTATGTACAAAGTACCACAGCGACAGTCTATGTGTCAACATGTCAAGATGTCGGATCTTGGGACATCTTGGCCTTATGAATGCCCTTTTGGGATCGTTCAATCGGGGCGAGTGGAAGGCCGGGGCTATTCTGGGAATGGACCCGCCGGTTGACGTGGGAGGCGAATTTGGAAAGTGAGGCTATCATGAATGAGGTTTTATGAGCGGTGAGAATTGGGAACTTTGTTGTGAGTCAATTGCCGCTTGACAGAAATCATAAAGTGCAAAACGCCGAAGGCTCAACACCAAGACAATTGGTTAAAGATGTCGGTCTAAGCCAAGACAGTTCTGGGCCAAGGGCAACCACACTGTTGTCTTGTGGGCGGTGAGATGGGGCACAAGAGGTGAAAACCCAGACTGTGAAGATGAAAGTGGGATGATGGGCACACCTCCTTGGGGTGAACAGAGTGATAAGATACGTATCAGTACTTGGCACAGCTAACCCCACCTGCCTGGGCTCCATGCTGTTGGCAGTTTGCCTTGCAGCTGCCCCGGCCGCTGCTTGCCCTCGTGAATGACGTGCCTTGTAACGATACTTAGGTATCCGCGCCTGCTACGGATAGAAAAGAAGACGGGAGTTTGAAAAGTGCTTCTCTCGCTGACTTCATCGACACCCAAGGACAACAACCTAACTTACCGAGCTTACCAGATCTGTCCAGACCTGTCCTACACTACACTACAAGCAGTTGAAGGAGACGGGATCTTTCTTCAACATGACACAAGCCCGAGTTAATCAGGTCGGGATGACACGGCCAATAGGTGAAGCGATCCAATCGAGAAGCTTCTCCCAGCTTCTGGGGAAGGCTTGGCCCAGACTCGACCCCCCGGGCGCGGGGTTAGAGGGGCACATTTGGCAAGCTTCCAGTTGGGGGGTCCTCAAGGTCCCTGTAGCCCGAACGGATACTTGTTGCCCGCCCACGCCGTGCCTGCTCTCTTGAGTCTCAGCGTCTCCAGTGCCGGTCGGGCAACATTTTTCGCTGATTTTTTTCCAGTCTCCAGTTTAAGTTGCTGTGCTTGGCCTTACTCAAGGCTCCACCTGTCCCGCTTGCTGAGAGGGAATCCACTTTTTGCGATAAACTTCACGTCCAGTCTTGTTCTGCTTTCCACTTCTGTGACTTCAACGTTGAAACCTCTCCATATCCGCCCATTCTTTGCCTGTCGACGTCTCCCTTGATTGTCGCCAAACCTCCATATACCCCCCCAAACAGACCTTCTTTGTTGTGGTGAGCAAATCTCCAAAACGTCTTCTCGACATACAACCGCCTTCCTAGCGTCCTATCCTATCGACTACCCCTCCCTTCCCATTTGAAGCCTCGAGGTGTCCCCCCATACCACCTTGATATACTCGAAACACCACCACTACCACTACCACTATCACCACACGAGATAACCCCGAGAGAGAGAGAGAGACCAGTTTTATTTACACATAGCCTTTGCTTTTACAGTTCTTCATATCCAACCGCCACAATGTCTGTCGTCGGTATGTTACCATTCTTCCTCCCTTCTCAACCAAACTGTCGCCGGCCGCGATCCAGGATCAGAGAGCATGCGCTAACATGGGCCCTTCCAGGTGTCGATTTTGGCGCTCTTAATACCGTCATTGCTGTTGCCAGAAACCGCGGTGTCGATGTCGTACGTACCCTTTCCCAAGCTCGACCTTCCTCTGGCCATCGTCCCCAGCTCATCGCATAGACTCTGTCTCCAAGTGGAAGGGGAGCATGCTTTGCGCGGGGCGATAGCGCCTCCATACACGCAGTGGATGACGACCAAGTACTGACGAGCCTCTTGTCTGACAGATCACAAACGAAGTCTCCAACCGGGCTACTCCTTCGCTCGTTGGCTTTGGCCCCAAGAGCCGGTATATCGGTGAGCCCGCCAAGACCCAGGAGATCTCCAACCTGAAGAACACCGTCGGCTGCCTCAAGCGCCTCGCCGGCCGCACTCTCGACGACCCCGATGTCGCCATTGAGCAGCAGTTCATCTCCGCCACCTTGGTCGACGTCAATGGCGAGGTCGGTGCCGAGGTCACCTACCTCGGCGAGAAGCGCAAGTTTTCCGCCACAGAGCTCATCGCCATGTTCATGAGCAAGATCAAGCAGACCACCCAGGCTGAGGTCAAGGTTGCCGTCCAGGAGCTCGTCTTGAGCGTCCCCGCCTGGTTCACCGACAAGCAGCGCAGGAGCATCTTGGATGCCGCCGAGATCGCCGGCCTCCGTCCCCTCCGCCTCATCAACGACACCACCGCTGCCGCTCTCGGCTGGGGCATCACAAAACTCGACCTTCCCGGCCCCGAGGAGAAGCCCAGGAGAGTCGCCTTTGTCGATGTCGGCTACTCCAACTACACCTGCTCCATTGTCGAGTTCAAGAAGGGCGAGCTTTCCGTCAAGGCCACCGCCTGCGACCGTCACTTTGGTGGCCGCAACTTCGACAAGGCTCTGCTCGACCATCTTCATAAGGAGTTCCTTGGCAAATACAAGATCGACATCTTCACCAACCCCAAGGCCGTCTGCCGTGTCCTCGCCGCTGCCGAGAAGCTCAAGAAGATCCTTTCTGCCAACCAGCAGGCTCCTCTCAACATCGAGTCCCTCATGAACGACATCGATGTCCGCGCCATGATCACCCGCCAGGAGTTCGAGGCCATGGTTGAGCCCCTCCTCGCCAAGGTCCACGTTCCTCTCGAGCAGGCCCTCGCCGACGCCAAGCTCACCAAGGACGATATCGACATCATCGAGGTCGTCGGTGGTGGCTCTCGTGTCCCCTCCGTCAAGGAGCGCATCCAGGCTTTCTTCGGCAAGCAGCTTTCCTTCACCATGAACCAGGATGAGGCCATTGCCCGTGGCTGCGCTTTTAGCTGCGCCATCCTCTCCCCTGTCTTCAAGGTCCGCGACTTCCAGGTCCAGGACATCATCAACTACCCCATCGAGTTCACCTGGGAGAAGGATGCCGATATTCCCGATGAGGACACCAGCCTCGTTGTCTTCAACAAGGGCAACGTCCTCCCCTCCACTAAGATTCTTACCTTCTATCGCAAGCAGCCTTTCGATCTCGAGGCCAGGTACACTAACCCCGAGGAGCTCCCCGGCAAGACCTCTCCCTTCATTGGTCGCTTCTCCATCAAGGGTGTTCATGCCACCGAGGGTCCCGAGGACTTTATGATTTGCAAGCTCAAGGCTCGTATCAACATTCACGGTATTCTTAACGTTGAGAGCGCCTACTACGTCGAAGATCAGGAGGTCGAGGAGGAGGTCAAGGATGAGAACGGTGATGTGAGTAATATTCTTATTAGTGAAAACAGGACGTCATCGGACAGTCCTACGAAGCGCCGTAAACTTTTCGACGGTTCAACGCAGTCTCTCGATGGTGGAACCCACGAAAATTTGGACGAGGAAAAGCTAACCCACGAAAAGGTTGTCATGGAAGGCGACAAGCCCAAGACCCGCAAGGTCAAGAAGCAGGTCCGCAAGGGCGAGCTTCCTGTCGTCAGCGCCACCCCGTCCCTCGACCCCGCCGCCAAGAACGCCGCCATTGAGAGGGAGCAGGCCATGATCATGGAGGACAAGCTCGTTGCCGATACCGAGGAGAAGAAGAACGAGCTCGAGACCTACATCTACGACCTTCGCAACAAGCTCGACGACCAGTACGCCGATCTCGCCTCCGAGGAGGAGAAGGAGAAGATCCGCGCCAAGCTCATGGAGGTTGAGGTATGTTATGACTTTTCCCCCCACTGCGCAAATAACCAGCTGATACTAACCAAATTACACAGGACTGGCTCTACGATGAGGGTGACGATGCCACCAAGGCCGTCTACGTCGCCAAGATCGAAGAGATCCGCGCCCTCGCCGGCCCCGTCGTCCAGCGCTACTTCGACAAGGTTGAGGCTGAGAGGCAAGCTCTCCAGGAGAAGCTCGAGGCTGAGAAGGCCGCCAAGAAGGCTGAGGAGGAGGCCCGCAAGGCCAAGGAGGCTGCCGAGAAGGCCGCCCAAGAAGGTGCCAAGGACGACGAGATGACCGATGCCGACGCTCCGAAGCCTGTCGTCGAGGAGGCTTAGAAAGTTGTAGACTCGAAGCAGAAGCAGGAGGAAAATGCCATGAAGTCAGAGTCGGACTCAGCGTCGGGGGCACCGACCCCTGCGTCGGAAGTCGATGATCAGACGCTGTCAGATCACGACGAATCGCCCAGGCCTGCCGCGGAGTCGACGGAGGCCGAGAAGGCGAACAAGATGGATATGACGGAGGTGGATTGAAATGAGATGATGACATGTTATGCCTACTCCAAGAAGAGAAAAGGCAAGCTTGTTAATGATGAAAGAAGAGAAAACACCAGCATACCCAACTACACATACCCACTCATACTTACACACATTCATATTCACGTTCACGTTTACATTATGTTTGATGTCATAACCAATTCAATTTGGAACTTCAGAGACTTTTTATGGTGTTCATGTAGGTTTTATGTGTGTTTTCTTTTTCTCTCTTGTTATGATGGTTGATTTCACGCACTTTGATGGGTAAGAAGGGGAGGACGAAAAAGATGGGAATAAAAGTTTCTTTTTGATACAGCTTTTTATAGAAGGAAAAGAATTTCAAAGACATGCCCGTTTCATGACCATTGCATTGCCCTTCACTCTTTAATAGAATTTTTTTGTAGTACAGTTCTTTCTCTGGCCCACGCCCATCTGAACCTACACCTCTGCCAGCATTAAACTTTTTCGGCATGGCATCACCACCTTATACAGGATTAGATATAGTCAAACCAGCCACCTTCCTTGCACGAAAACTAGAGAGTTCTCGCAACTTGCAAATCACCGCGTTCATAAAGTTGAATGCCGACACTGGTGTACGAGCTCTTGCTGTAGATTCCATTGCGATATACCCAATATAATAGATAAACAAAGTAATAAAAAAAAAAACACTACGCAGACTTTAAGTTTGATATAACCTCCTCCTCCTCCTCTATTTGGTATCAGAGTCTAGGGCTGATCTGTGATATATATTGCATCGTATCGTCTAAATTTCCAGTTTTGTTAAATAATCTATCTGGTCCGAAAACAAATGGTTTCTTTTAATAGTACAGTACGGGCGGGGGAAAGTAAAAGAGAGAGAAAGAAAGAAGTGAACAGAGAAACTAACTAACGGAGTGAAGGAGGGGAGGGTTGGCCAAAAATGGAATTGACCCTCCCTCCCTCCCTCCCTCCCTCCCCCTCTTCACACACACATATATACATACATATAGATAAATATATACAAGCGTTTCATTCATAATAACTTTATTCCTTTCCTTCTTTAATAGAATAAGTAACTAGCTAGCTGGATAGCTGGATAGCTAACAAGAAAATAAGAAAGTACGCAAAAAAGTAAGAAAGCAAGCAAGCAAAGATGGGATAGGTAGGTAGGTAGGTAGGTATGGAGTATGGATTGATGCCATGCCGCCGCCGCCGCCGCGTTGAGATTCATCTGTCCGTCCGTCCGTCCGTCCGTTATAACATGACATGATACGGCATAAGACGTTGTTGAATCGGATTGAAATCGGAATGGTAGATATATATATATATATATATATATATAAATAAATGAATACATTCTGAAACCATAACAAGGCAGGTGTGTGTGCACTATAGCCATTATGTCCGCCAAACTACCTACCTATCTATACGATAGAAAAGATGGACGGTAATTCTACTTGGTACTTGCAAGCGAGGCAAAATACAAAGTGCACAATATATACCTAGCTAGGCATGTGAACTACCACCTACCACCTACATACTACCCACCCACCCACCCACCCCGTGACAGAAACCGACTGACTGACTGACTGACTTGACTGAAGCTTTTATAATTCGCTTGTTCGCTTTCTAAAAGACGACAAAGTAAGAAGATAGGAGAAATAAATAAATGTGCCTTGCCTATATATTACCAACTTTAGCTCTCTCTCCCCATTTTACAACCTTGACTAGTTAGTGTAGGCTGGACTTTCACTACATGTGTACCTCTCCATCGTCAAATCGGTTGGTTCCATCACGACATGCATCCCCATCGACGACGACGACGACGACGACGACGATAGGAACAGATACCAGTACGACTAACCCAATTCGAAAGAACTAATACTATCACTACTAACCCAACAAATCAAACATCCTTTTAGAATACCTAGTGCAACTAAGAAAAAAAAAACAAGTTCATAAACGTACATACAGACAGACATACTAAATCCCCCCCTTCCAAAGACCACACACCAACCAGCAAATGCAGTAATTTTTGTGTTTCCATTCCATTCCCTGCCTTGCCTATTCCTATTCTTATTCTTATTCTTATTCCTTCCCCCACCAACCAACCATCCATGTGGCATCATTCATTCTCCATTCTCTCCATTCTCTCGACTAATTCTCATTTTTATCCATGTCCATGTCCATGTCCATGTATGCCTTTTGACTATGACTATAATGATGAAATTCCCATCTTCTGCTTGTCCCCACCCCACATCTCCACACACCCTCCCACCTCTGACCTACTTACCTACCACTTAGACAGTGGTTGTTGGTTTAAGCAATGTCAAACATGGGCTTCAACTTGATAATCAGCTGCCACTCATCGTTGGTCACGTCTTTGCGGTAAAACTCCTTGAGGCAGTTGATCGAGGCACGCGAGATCTTGGAGTAGAGCATGTCCTTCTCCTCGAGATGGCGGCCGTACGTGGGCTGGTTGCCGCCCATTTCGATCTTGATGGCGACCGAGGGTTGACCCTTTTTGCAGACGGGGATCTGCTTGTGGTCGCGCTCGATCGAGGTACTACATTCGATTTGATCAGATTAGTGAATAATTCATGGAGAGGAGGATGATGGGGTGAAAGGACAACAAAAAAAAAGACATACACTCTACCGAGATCGATGACCTCCCTAGCGCCAGTAACGGGGTTCGTCTTGACGGCGGAAATGGGCGTGTTGATCTTCAACTGACCCTCCACGACATCGACACCGATAACAATGGGACCAGACTTGTTGAACACGGCAACGGGAGCGAGCACGCAAGGGAAGACAGCGAGGAGCTTGGACTCCTCCTTCTTCTTCTCGAGCAGCTCATCCATGTGCTTGGTGAACGAGTCGAACAAGTGGTAGATAATGTCGGCGGTGAAGATCTTGACGCCCTGCTGATCGGCATACTCCTGCGCTTCCTTATCGACCTTAACGTCGAAGCAAAGCATGACGGCGTAATCGGGAGCCTTCTCCAACATGATACCGCACTGCATGACATCGCGCTTGTAGACGGGACCGATACCGACGTTGGCGACGGGGATCTTGCACTCCTTGAGGAAGTCGAGCAAGGCCTCGAGCGAACCAAGGGTGGAGGCCTGGACGGAGACACCGCGGCCGGACTTTTCGACACGGCTGAAGAGCGAGGCGAGATCGGCCTCGACCTCGTCCTCGAGATCGTCCTCATCATCATCGGGGCCGACGACAAGCAGACGGGAACCGGCAATGGCACCCTCGAGGCCGGGGGCAGAGATCTTGACACCCAAAGCGGCCTTGACTTCCTTATTGTGAACGTACTGCGACTTGAGGCGCAGTTCCCTGAGCGGCGCGGGCGTGAGCAGGGCTCTGATATTGGTTTTGATGACGCCTTCTGTACCACACAGGATAATGCGGTCACCTTCCCTGAGGATACCGTTGGTGAGAATGACATCGATGGTCATACCGAAACCCTCGATGGCCTTGACTTCGAGAACGGTAGCCTGGACCTCGGAGAGGTACATGAGAGAGCCAACCATGCGCTCCTGGGTGAGCTGAACAATGAGCTTCAGCATGTCGGGGATACCCTCACCGGTGTGGGCAGAGGTGGGGACCAAGGAGACGAATTTGGCCATGGACTTGTTCTGGTAGAAGAGCTCCGAGTTGAAACCCTGCTCGGCGAAGGCGAGCTTGGTCTGCTCGAGACGGTTCTTGAACTCGTTCTGGACAGCCTTGTTCTGGAGGGCCAACGACTCCTGGAAGCCGTTGTTCTCGATCTTCTTCCAGCCGTAAAGACGATCGATCTTGTTGAGAGCGACGATGAAGGGCGTCTTCCTCTCACGGAGAAGTCTCATGGACTCGAGAGTCTGGGGCTCGAGACCGTGCATGATATCGACAACCAAGATGGCGATGTTGCAGAGCGAGGAACCACGCGAACGCAAGTTGGAGAAAGACTCGTGACCGGGGGTATCGATGATAAGAAGACCGGGAACCTTGAACTCGAACTTGCCATCCCTGTTGACGACCTGGGTCTTCTGCTTGATGGCCTCAACGGGGAAGTAAGTGGCACCAATCTGCTGAGTGATACCACCAGCTTCGCCCTCCTGGACGTTGGTCTGACGAATCTTGTCCAGCAGCTTCGTCTTACCGGTATCGACGTGACCAAGAATACAGCAAATGGGCGAGCGAAGGTTGTCCGCAGACCTGGCAGCCAGAGCGGCCTGGTGAGCCTTCTCACGACGCTCGGCAGCCTCCTTCTTCCTCCGGGCCTCCTCCAGTTCCCTGGCGGTAGCCTCCTCGTCCTCAGAAGATTCCTCTTCAGACTCCTCCTCAGACTCGGACTCGGACTCGGACTCCTCCTTCTTGGCCTGAGCCTTGCCGTTGGCCGCGGCAGGCTTAGGGGCCTCTTTCTTGGTCTCTTCCTTCTTGGTCTCTTCCTCCTCGTCGGAATCAGCATCCCAGCTGTCCTTGACATCCTCCTTGTCAGAGGCAACAGCGGCCTCCCAGTCCTCGTCGACGCTGTCCTCAGCGGCGGCCTTGGCGGCCTCAGCCTTGGCAGCAGCCTCCTTCTCGGCCTTCTCGCGCTCGATGCGGGCCTTCTCCTCTTGCTCCTTGGCCAGAGCCTCAGCGGCGAGTCTTGCGCGCTCAGCGGCCTCGGCGAGAGCCTTTTCCTCGTCCTTCTGTAGCAAGTAGACACTGGTTAGTGCCGTCCATAGTATACCATAATTGTAACAAGAATTCCGGACAGACTCACCTTCTTGTTAGCGGCCCTCTTCTTCTTATCGTCGTAGACAGGCTTCTTCTTGGACTCTTCACCCTCG